TCCTGATTGACAGGGACCTCCTCCCACTGCTCCTGGGAGCATACAGCTCTCTCATCCCTGGGGACCCCTCCCGTCATTCTGCTCCCAAGGCCTGACTGAGGCCTGAGCCCAGAGGGACAGGCTGGGCCTCAGGGGCAGGCTGTCTCCCTGAGCCTCCTGCAGGGGGAGCACCCTGTCTCAGTGGGTGACTGAGAGTGAGGGGGTGGGGGGAGGCTGGAACAGGGGTGACAGGGAGTAACGGCGACACGCCTGTTAAAGGTGGGTACACGGGAATGACAGTGGCGGGAGGATACCAAGTCCCTTGGGAGATTTCTGTGTGGGACAGTCTAGTCCAGCTGGGGGAGGCAGACCCATCGGTGTGGCTGGGGGCCTGGGCTCAGGGACAACGTGGTTTCAAGGAGCCTGGACTGCTGTCCCTTCCCTCCAGCCATGGCTGGGCTCTGTGTGATAGATGCTGACGCAGAGTTACATCCGCGTGGGAACAGGTCCTCCTCACACCCCTGGGCCCTTCCACCAGCGCCACCCGCAGGGACAGCAGAGTCCTCGGTACATGTGGCCCCAGGGCTGGTGGGAGCAGAGCCAGGACGAGACCCCTGTCTGCAGAACTGCCTGTCCCAGCTCTGCTCCCACGAGGCCCCGCCCTGGCCCTAACCCCCTGCCTCAGGCCAATGCCTCTTCCCCAAGTTCAGGTTCTGATTCCTTTCCGGGTTCAGGCTGGGTGGGAAGGCTGAGGCTCTGAGCAGGGCCCTGCCCACCCAGCAAGCAGAGCTGTGGTCCGGGCGGAGGCCCCGCAGCAGCCATGGGAGGGCTGAAGCCCTGCAGTTCCAAAGGAGGCCTGGCCCTCTGCTGCCCACACAGCTCAGGGGAGAATGGCCTCATGTCAGGGCCTTCCCCTCCCACAGAATCAATGGTCAGCCCTCAGCTCCTCCTCCGCTGACTTCTCTTGTCCCGTGGGGCTGGCAGCACCCACTCTCCCGCCTCCTGGGCACTTTGTGAAGGAGACTTCTCACCTGGGCCTGTCTTTCCCGGCCGCTGCCTCTCCCTGCCCAGCTGGGCCTCAACACAGAGAAAGGAGCTCAGCGGTTGTGCCAGACTCTGCGTGTGCCGTGGGCTGGTCCAGAAGCTGCCAGCCCTCCCGGGTCAGCACCCTCCCCATGGGCACCGGATGTGTCCCTGCCTGGGTGGCCGGCCCTGGATGCCAATGTGAGGCTGAGGGACACAGCCTGGACCCCCGTTCCTGGTGCAAATTACCATATTTTTCGGACCATAAGATGCTCCGGACCAGTTTTTAGAGAAGGGAAATGAAGGAAAAAAGATTCTGAAACAAATAGTGTCCTAAAATATTTTATGTGCATTAAAACCCAACATCACAGTCATAAACACATGTAATCAACCCTGTAAACAGCAGCATTTAGAACCATTTTAGAGCCGGGCAAGCACACAGAGACCACACAGAGCCGGGCAAGTAAAAAAACTTTTTTTTTTAAAGTATATGTGTAGGCTATATTTGGACCATAAGACGCAGGGACTTTTTCCCCCCACTTCTGGGGGAAAAAAAGTGCGTCTTATGGTCCGAAAAATACGGTAGTCCTGGGACTTCCCTGCTTTCAGGGTCTCGGTGGTGAAACAAGTTACCCCCCCCCCCCCCCCCCCAGGTTGTCAGGAACACTGAGTGTGTTTGAAGGGAACACACTTGCTCACCTGTGTGCCTTGTCACCACCATCAGGTTCACACCTGGCCCCTGGTGTGTCTGCGCCTGTCCCCACTCGCCTGCTGTTTCTGCCTTTGATTCATTGTTTGGATGAACAGTTCCCAGCAGGAGGCAGAGCCTGGGTTGCCCCCCACCTCAGAGACCTGGGAACCCCAAAATCTCCCTGGAGCCTGTACAGAGGGTTTGACTGGAGGCCCATCACTGCTTCAATCGTGGGTGAGGCCAAGTCCGCAGCTACGTGGAATCCTGGAGAGATTGGCACATTAGCGTCTGCAAATACTAAGCTGGGAGCAATGGGAAGAAAAGGGAAGAAGTATTTCCTATTTCCCTGCAGCCAGCGCTCTGTATCACAGGAAATGAACTTGACAGGACACCCTGGAGGGCTGAGCCTCAGGCAGAGAGCAGGAGGGGCTCCTAGTGACTGAAGTGGAATCTGTGGAAAGGGCGATGCCCTCCCTTCACTCCTCCGGGGAAATCACGATGCTCAACCGAGAAGGGGCTCACTGTCCCCGTGTGCTCAGTGCTGCCTGCTGCTCCCCTTCCAGTAGCTCCCGGGGTGATATTGTAATACCCAGTTTCCCCGAAAATAAGACAGTGTCTTATATTAATTTTTGCTACCAAAGATGCGCTAGGTCTTATTTTCAGGGGATGTCTTATTTTTCCATGAAGAAGAATACGGTACACATTTATTGTTAAAAGAAAATAAAGGAAATTTATTACCTGTGTATGGTACGGTAGTACGGTAGTTGTCAACACAAACCAGACAAACTGAATCCTACAGTATCAAGAATTTACTCATTTATTCAATGACAATCATATCATTATCTTCTGGAACATCATCATACAATCCAATTCCTGAATTTCCTGTGACTCCATTTCTTTCAGAATCAGTGGACCAAATCTCTCATGTTTAGCAATAGCATTCTGAGACAGAGCCTAGGAAGGGGGTGGGGGGGTTATTTTCGGGGGGATGCCTTATATTTCACTCAGAAGGAAACCTGTAAGTAGGTCTTGTTTTCGGAGGATGTCTTATTTTCGGGGGAACACGGGTAGTACCTCCTCCCTTAGAGAGCCTGGGAGCGAGTTCCTTTCCCCGTTTTTCTGTGGGGAAGTGGGGTTGGGGACGTCAGGACTGAGGGCAGGTCACACAGCAGGAAGTGGGACAGCCTGGGAGGCACCTTGCAGGTGTGGTTGACTTACTTTGTGTTGTCATTCCCTGCACTGCGCCTGGTCCCCTCCAGTTCAACTTTCAAGCCCCTGTTCAGTCACCATCTCTTTAACAAGTCTTTTCTGACAACATCCTTCCTCCCTTGCTTCCCCTCCAGGTTGGATGCCCTTCTCACCTGCTCCCATACCACCCACAGTTGTCCTGTGTTCACATTGTCTGTGAACTTCCTTTCTCCCTAAAGGCAGGGCAATGTCTGCCTTCCCTCACTAACACTCGAGGCTTGATGGAGCAGCAAGTATACTAGTATTTAGGTTTTCGAATTCATGATTTAGTCTAGAAAGGTTATATACTTCTAGGAACTTATTCATGTTTTCTAGGTTATTAAATTTGGTGGCTTTTACTCTTTCATAATATTCTAGTATTTACCTTTGTGTATCTGTGATGTCTGTTGTGACTTTTCTCTCATTTCTCATTTTGCTTATATGGGTCTTTCCCCTTTTTCCTTTAGTGAGTCTAGACAGAGGATTATCGATCTTCTTAAATTTTTCAAAGACCCAGCTCTTGGTTTTATTGATTTTTTTGTTTAGCCTTTTTGTTCTCTATTTTATTTAATTCTGCTCTACTTTTTATTATTTCACTTATTTTGCTGACTTTTGGTAGTTTTTGATATTTTTCTAGTTCTTTAAGATGTCATGTTAGGTTGTTTATGTGGGATTTCTATTGTTTCTTGAGATAGGCCTGTAATGATATAAAATTCCCTTTTATTTCTGCTTTCACTGAATCCCAGAGGTTTTAATATGTTGTATTGTCATTCTCATTTGTCTCTATATATCTTTCATTCTTACCTTTAATTCAAACGATGAAAGAATAATCACTTATTTGAACCCCATTAAGATAGTCAACTTGAAAAAGGTATTTTCCCTCTATGAACTTTTCCCTAGTTGATCCCATTTTGTTCTGATTAATAAACTAAACCAGCATACGTTGCACTGTAAAAAAGATCCTGTGGAATGTTAGCCGATGCCATGACCATATTCCATCATTTTATGATTCAGTGACTTAAGGGAGTAGAAAAATTGATAGTTATACACTTGTTAATTATGGGGAACTGGCGGCAGGATTACTTTTGATTGAAATAAATAGGCCAAAACAGCCCTGGTGTCAGCCCTGCTCCCCTTAGAGAAAGGCCTGAGGCCGTCCTCCTGATGGAGCCTCTGGGAGACTTTCCCAGTGATACACACTTGACAACTGTCATTGAAGGAGACTTTACCAAGGCAAGGGCACCTGGCAGCCTGTTAGCAGTGAGAAGTATAGAGTCTCTCAGAGTAAACCCTTTGGAAAGTGCTGGATACATATGTGAGGCCTGTTATTATTTCTTACAATACAAAGGTGGAAGGAATGACACTGCCTTCAGTTCAGAGGGTAAGCTCTCTTCCTGCTTCAGGTATGGTTGGGGGCGGGCAGGGCAGCTGCACTAGGAGCAGAGCACAAAGGGACCTCACCCCTCCTGGGCTGCAGCCCCCGTTCTGAGGTCACTTCCACCTTCCCGTGTGCCAAGTCCTGTCTGATGGCCCCTTTAAGACTTATGTGATGGCAGCTGGTCTCAGCCTTCTGAGTCCCCATCTCTCCCCCAGAGCAGGCTTGGTTCATGTGTTTCTGTGAAGGTTACCATCCTGGGAGTGACATCCGAATTCCCCTAGCCTGGCTTTCCACGTGTCGTTAATCGCCCTTTCTAGAATTCAGGAGGTGAGGGTGTGCGGGCGTATTAACTATTGTGAGGACTTTACCCCTCCGTTTGGCCCTAGAGGCGGCTTCTTTAGGTCTGTGGTCTGGGAGCGGGAGCAGGTGAAGACTGGGGTGCAGCCCTTCCCCCACCCCCAGGCTATAGATGGCAGTGGGACCTCAGGCCTCATCGGTCACTGCACTGTTATGAACACTCTGTGCCACTTTGCCTTCTTCCTTGGATCCAACCTTTACATTCTTTACCCACATTCCGCCTGAGGTTCATCGTATCCGACTGTCAGATGGGGACCCCACACAGTCACGCTCCATTCCGTCCAGCCAGAACTCCTTCCCTCGGATTTACACAGAGGGAGGCAGGTGACCTGTGGCCATGGCCACTCACTCATCTGGGGCAGAGGTGAACTCAGCCCTCAGCAGACTCCCTGTCACTGCCTTCTATCCACCCTGAATGAAGAGTGCCTTCCTCGCTGGGCTTTAAGTGTGGGGCAGGCAGGGGTGGGGAGGGGAGCTGTATTTTATCCAGGCTAAGCTCAGAGGGGTTCACAGGGCCATCTCCACCGCAGTCTTCATTAGGGAGAGAAGGGGTCTTAAGGGAAGATGCTATTAATTTCCCACCAAGAATGTGCTTCTGAACTCAGGGCCCAGCAACCTCCACACCACTACACTCACCCCCAAACTTCCATCCACTTTGCTCTGATACTTTCTGGAGCCTGAGTGGGATGCCCAGCCCTGGGATGTCCCTGTAAACCTGTTTCCTAGAGCTGCATAAAGTTCAAAGTAGAGCGGAAGCAGGAGAAATTGGGTTGAACCAGATCCTGGGGTGGGTCTTTATGGACTTTTCTCTTCTTGTTTTAGAGTTTTTGCTCTGTAGTGACATACTGTGAAAACACACAGTGAAAGAACTTGAGATAAGCTTACAACGCCAGTCAGTCTCCCTCTATGCCCCTCCCTTCTAGAAGCCAAAGTGTACACTGAGCACAACAGACAGAAGCCACTGCACAACTCTTAGGAGGAAACAAACATATATTGAGGAAAATTAAATATTTTGAATGTGCTGAGAAAATGGACTGATTTTTTTCATGGAGACATGCTTATGGACGAGCAGACAAGACACCCCCCGGAAAAAGACAGTGCCTCGGGCAGTGCTGATGGTGGCCTAGGGCACCTGGCCCCTTTGGCCCATGCTGGCAGGATCTGACTGAAGACAAAGATGTCTTGGAGGCCAGGAATATGGGGCGCGACTCAGGCCCAAGGGCTCATCATTGAATTTGATGCTTTTCAAGCACTCTGTCTGTCTGACTTGCCCTTTCCTAGTGGAACAACTCTGATTGGAGTTGGCCTGGTGACTGCAGGCTGTGTGACTCATCACTCCCCCTTTCTCGCAGAAAGGAAGCCTGCTGTAGCAAAGATACCTACACACTGGGGTTTTGGGTTCCTGTTTGTGCTCATTTAATGCTGTGGTACGAAGTCCCTGGTGAATTTTCTCCTCGAGAATCTGCCCTACAGTTGTTATGAGTGTCTGAGCCTCAGCGATCTTGCTGCCCGTAACTGATATGCCTTTGACTGGTCCTTGGTTCGGGGCAGTAGCTGAATTGAGATTGTAGTCTAGCAGAGCATTCTGACCTTTGGGTTTTTTATTGGGGAAAATCCCCTGAAAAAAGAGCTTCATTCTTTGTCTGAAGAAACTTTCTGGAGGACCCTGTTTCTTCTCTGGCTCCAGATAAGGGTATTGCCTCTCAGCAGAGTCTCCAGTGCCCCTAGCTTTGGCAGAGGGGGTCACTCTAATAGTAAGAGAAGCCCCCAATTTCTCAGGCCCTTTTGCCTGCTCTCTTGAGTAGGGCCTCCTACAATTGTCTCTCATGTAGGTAGGGGCAATCATTTGTCTCTGATTCTTCCACGAGTCCTGCATATATGATATTCTGGATTCCTGCTTCCCTTGGCTGCTCCTTTGGGGTGTCTTAAGGCCACATAACACATGGGACGCTAGCCTGACTCCAGGGGGCACACTCTGGGAGTGGTGATGGTGCACCTTGTCTGCAGCAAGGGGCATGTGTTTGGGACTGTCTTGAGGTTGGTTCTTTGACGTTACATGCACTTTAGACTTAAGTTTATTAATGACCTCTTTGTTAAGGCATGGCTCTCCTCGTTCTTGGAGAAAAGATGTTCTAGGGACTAGGGAGTCGTTACTGGTCCCTGGAGATTCTACAGTCTTCAAATGTGCATTGATGTTTTGGGATATTGTCTGTACATTGGTTCCCAACTCTGGTTGAAGAGCAGGGGACACACTGGCCTCCATTGTCTCCTTGACCTCTTTGGCCCTCAAAGATTGGGATATTAAGTTTATCACCTGCATTGCTACCCCATTGAAGGGCTCTTGTGAGGCCCCACCCCTGCCCTTCCCTCTTGGATCATTCCTGGTCATGGCTGAACCTGGACTGAGATCTAGACTATCCCGCTCAGCCCACTCCACAGTCTTACTCTTCCAGGTGAGTGAGACAGACTGAGATGGTGGCCTACCCTCCTGTCTAGTCAGAGAGGCCTTTGAAGGACCATGGCCAACCCCAGGTGGGGTCCTTCCTAGAGCACTCTGCATTTCCTCACACACACGTGAGGAGGCAAGGAGAGACTTTGCCAGGGTGGGAACTGAGTCGTCTGTTTTCACTTTATCTCCTGGACAGGCCTGAGATAGTGGCTTTTCTGGGAACTCAATAATTTTGTCTATTGAGAAGGCCCCAGAGACACAGGTTGATGAGTGTGGAATGGGTGAAGTTTGAGCCCTTTTCAACTTAACGAGATGCATGGGCTTGAGGACCTTGAGGGGCAGGCCCCACCTGTGCTTCACCCAAAACTTTGTAATATGTGCTTCTAGCACCTTTTGAACGTCAGTATCGAGAAAGACCACCCCATGAGAGGCATTCATGCAGGGTTCCCAATCCTTCAAAATTCCCAGATTTTTGGTTTCCATGTGAGTGTCAGCCTTGGCAGAAGAGTGCCTGACAGCAAGCCAGCGTCCATGCACACTCATCAGGCTCTTGCTCCTCTGTCCCAACTTGCTGCCCGAGTGGCCTTTTAGCGTGTTTTCTAGGTTTTTGTCTAAGTTCCTCAGTAAATCACTTCCGCAGTCTTTTCTCAAAAGTATCACGTCACTTTCTGACTCCTCAGAGTCTACCCTCTGAAACGTCACTAGGGAGCTTTCTGAGCCCCTGGAGAGTTCTTTTGGGACCTTCTCTGTGACGTGGCTTAGCTGGAGCCCCACGTTCTGTGTGTCGTTGCTGCTTTCACCTGTGTGTGAAGAGGGCTGTGAGGACTCATGCTTGTCCTCTGCCTGACAGGTGTCTGGTAATTCGCTCTGATGTTGCCCTGGTTTGGGAGGTTCTTGGATCTTGGGAGACAGCTCCCAGCTGTGTTGCATATGCCAGTTTTGCAGATGTGGCTCCAGTTGCTTCTGGGACTCAGGATTGATAGGAAAATTCTCAGGAAGGATGCTGTCCTTGGGACAGTTGGAAGTGAAGACACTGAAGACTTCCTGAGACCTTTTGACTACAGAGGATAAATCCCACCCGCTTTCTACTTGCTTCTGCAACAAGGGCCTTTCTGGATGTGGAATCTCAATTGGGATTAAAAATTGTGACTCATTCCGTGCTGTCAGGCATGATACTCCACAGCTTCCAATCTGAGGTGGAGAAGAAGGTGGTAGGGCTGGTAGAGAGCATCGGGTCTGGACCTGAGCCAGAGGTGGGGGCAATTGAGGCACGGTTGGAAGCCAGGGTGGAGATGGGAACGCCAAGGGAGACATGGGCTGGGGATGGGAAAGCAGTGGAGAGGCTGTAGCCTGCAGTTGAACTGGGGAGGGAGAAGCCGACCGAGGTGTGTGTGGACATGAGCTCTGCGGGACGGGGCCCAGTGTCAGTGCCACTGAGTCACAATGGGGAAGAGTCAGAGTGGAGGCTGGTGGTGGTGAGGCAGAGGAGGCTGTGGGAGCTGGAGGGTGGGCCCCTGAATCAGGGGGAAGTGAAGGGGAACAGGAAAGTGCAAGTGGCTGGGGTGAAAGGTCATCCAGCAAAAGAAAAGGCTCTGGTGTCCGAGAGGCACTCAGGGGTGAGTGGGAATGAAGGGGGACAGAGAAGTTGGTCGGTCCTGGTGACAAGGTGGAAGCCGGAGGTAACGGGCACTCAGTCACAGGAGCCAGAGAGGCCAAGGAGGACATGGTGGGAACAGCATCTTCCACAGGCGCCCCGCAGGGCCCGTTGGCTCCAGCAGGCGCTGCTTCGCAGACCTCACCAGAGGGGTCTTGAGAGGAGCGCTGAAGAAAGCCGCCCTGTTCAGGGGGCCTCCCCAGGTGGCTGCAGGAGATGGAGGCACAGGCTGCAGCCAGGAGCAGGCAGGCAGGCAGGCCGTGCAGTGTGGGCGCCTCCAGGGTCCTTCATGGTCCTGACACTGACTTCCCAGTGTGCCTGCTGTCCCTCACCCCAGGGCCATCGCCACACCCTGTCCCATGGCCCCTCCCAGGGCAGTGCCAGGTGGCCTAAGGTGACATCATGGGTTCGGAGGAAGAGGACCCAGGAGAGAAGGGGAAGATTCTTTACCTTCCGAGAAGATTAATTAGGCCCCGAGCCTTTTCCAGGTCTTGCAGGCACTCTCTGCAGGCTGGAAATCAGGAGACTGGGTCACATAGTGGAACAGGGCCTGGGGGTCTGACAGGAGGCTGAGTGCCATGGGCCTTTAAGAGTGACACCCTGGACAGCTGACTCAGGAGCCCAAGCATCAGGGTCAAGGCTACATGACCCCTGACAGGATTGGAAGGCTCAGCACAGGTAGTGCTCTGTCATTTACAAAGTGTTTCCATCCACTACCCCCTGCTCCCCCCCTCTCCGCCGCTAAGTCCGTGTGGTGAGAAAGGGCAGGGGCACCAGGGAGGGACCTGAGCAAAGGTAAACGGCCCGCCCACAGCTGGACCTGGGGTCCTGCTCCCAGTCTAGCACTACTGGTCCACAACAACCCAGGGCCCCTCCTGGGAGCCCTGCTAGGGAAGCACCCAGGCCCAGGCCCCGAGGCTTCGTTCCCAGCACGGGATCTGGGAAGCATCTGCCTTCTGCCTCCTTCCAGGAGCCACCGAGGCCCTGCTTCCTGAGAGACAGCTCTGCCGCTGGCATCCTGGGACCTGCCTGGCCGGGGACAGTGCAGATGGAGGCAAAGTCTCAGGCAGCCTGAGTGAGGGCAGAAGCTCACCTTTCAAAGCTGCACTTTTCCTCCTGCATCTGCTGTTCCTGCTCCTCCTGGGCTCCACTGAACGCTGAGACAAGAAAAACCGGGAGCTGGGACCCCATCTCACTCTCCTCTCTAGACAAGCGGCAGATGCTCAGGGTTCGTGAACAATATGAGTCTCTACAGTTACCTCCCGGGCTCTCTGGTTCCTCCCCCTTTACTTATTACTGTTTTCTAGTGTCAGCGTTTCTTTAATGCTGAAGTATTCTGTGGAGTCTTAGCTTTATTGTTTCTTCTCCAAAAGTATTGAGAAATTCATGGTTCAGTGAGTATTTATGATAGAAATAAAACTATGTTCATTTAAAGCTGGCCTTTTGCTTAGTTTTAAAGTGGGTGAAACATTTTGTTTTCTTCTTTGAGGAATGGAAAAAAGAATTTTCTATGTGAGATGCACCATTGAATTCTTTGATCTCTGCTTTTCCGCTCAAGAAACACACACACATCCTCAGTCCTGCAGCCTGCCTGGAGCTCCCTCAGGTGGGACTGCTCCCTGAGGCCACAGCCCGCCCCAGCCCCAGCTCAGCGGCCCCCAGGGGCTCCCTCAGGCCAAGGTCCTCTGATCAGCCCCACAGAGGGGAGGCTCCCCAGAGGCACCTGCCCAGGAAGGCGGTGGGGAACCAGGGCTCTGGGCCTGTCCCCATGGAGGCCCGGCCCTTAGCATTCCTTCCTTGGCCACTGGTCACTGTGTTTGGGGCCGCACCCTAAGCCCCACCACACCTGGCCTCCTGGTGGAACATCTCTGCATAGAAATCCTCCCCTGCTCTAACCCTCCCGCCTGGCTGGTTCCCAGCAGGATGAGGTTCTACCCTTTCCTGAGAGCAGCTGCTTCTCTCCTCCCATCGCAGGAGACTCCATAGGACATTCAGAAAAGTGGGAATAAGAATAAAGAGCCCTAACTGGCTTGGCTCAATGGATAGAGCATTAGCCTGCGGACTCAAGGGTCCCAAGTTCATTTCCAGTCAAAGGCATGTACATTGGTTGTGGGCACATCCCCAGTGGTGGGGAGGGGGTGGTGGTGCAGGTCTCACTGATGTTTCTCACCCATCCTCCCTTTAAAAAAAATCAATAAAATATATATTAAAAAAAAAAAAGAATAGAAAAAAGATAATCTCTGTTGGGCCTGGGCCAAGAGATCCTCACCTTCCTGGTGTTTCCGTGTTCCCTCCGGGGTGGTGAGGGTCCATCACTCTCGAAGTGACGGACATAAAGAAGTAAGAGCAGCGCTCCACACACGATGCCAAGGATGACATCCACCATCCAGCAAGGACTGGAGCGCTGCCAGGTAGCAATGGCGCTTTTCAGAGGACAGAGAAGGTTCTCCATGATCTGAATCGCACTGCTGCCCTCAGGCAACTGAGCACTGCCAGCGCACTTGGGGGCAGAATCCCAGGCTGCATCACAGAGCTGTGACCTTGTCACAAAGCTTCCTGAGGGTGGGGGAGGGACAATAAGAGGAGGAGGATGCCCATCCCCCACCACCCGGCCCCACATCGCCCTGTGCCCTTCTGGACCTTCTAGATCTCTCCTTCCAGCTCTTCTCTCGTCCTGCCAGAGAGACCTTAGCCAATTTCCTATTAGTTTCATCTGGAAGGTTCCCTTTGTCCCTAAGAGATCTTGACTTGAGGCTCACCAGTTTCATAAACCTTGAAAATCTGAACTTGAACCTGATATTGTGGCTATTTCCCAGGGATTTTTATTTTATTTCTTTTGTGCTCAACTCCAGCTTCTGCACATCATGTTTTTGTCTTGTATAAACCCAGGCTCAGAACTTTTGCATTTACTTAGTTTTGTGAATTTTGAGTAGTGTTTGTTTTGACAATCAGAGCTACCTACACACAAAATAGTTATAATTTGTTATTCATGATGTATAAATCTAAGTATTAAACAGTTATATGTAGTTAAACCTTTAAATAATAATCTTATAAATTTACAGCATTTATAATTCTGTGTCAGTAAAGCTTTAAATTGCACAAAGACTTTTGGGACTGATTTGGTGGTGGTGTACTTCTTGAGCTTTTTTTTGTTTTGTTTTGTTTCTGATCTTTGAAGCTTTTTATCTGCCCTTCAATTCTGAATGATAATTTTGCTGAGTAGAGTAATCTTGGTTGTAGGTTCTTGCTATTCATCACTTTGAATATTTCTTGCCACTCCCGTTTCTGTTGAGAAATCAGCTGATAGTTCTATTGGTGCTCCCTTATAGATAACTATTTATGTCTTGCAGCTCATAAGATTATCTCTTTGTCTTTTGCTCTTGGCATTTAAATTATGATGTGTCTTGGTGTGGTCCTCTTTGGATTCCTTTTGTTTGGGGTTCTGTGTGCTTCCTGGACTTGTAAGTCTATTACTTTCACCAGGTAGGGGAAGTTTTTGGTCATTATTTCTTCAAATAGGTTTTCATTGTCTTGCTGTCTCCTCTTTCTGGCACCCCCATAATTCTGATGTTGGTATGCTTGAAGTTGTCCCAGAGGCTTCTTACACTATCTTCAACTTTCTGGATTCTCTTCTCTTCTTGCTTCTGCAGAGGAGTGCCCCTTTCCTCTTTGTGCCCCTTCCCAGATCACTGACTTGTTTCTTGCATTCTTCTAGTCTGCTGTTGGGTCTCTGTATAATATTTTTTATTTCAGTCAATGTATGTTTAATTTCTAGTTGGTCCTTTTTCATATCCTCAAGGGTCTTGTTAAATTTATCAGCCTTTTCTAGGAAATTCTTGAAAAAATTACAATATAACCGTGGTTTTGAACTCTATATCCAGTCTTTTGTTCGCCTCCATTTCTTTTGTTTGAAGTGTTTCCTTTTAATGCTTTTGAATATCCTTATAATCATTACTTTCAATTCTCTGATAAATTGCTCACCTCTACTCCATTTAGCCCTTTTCCTGGAGTATTCTTTTGTTCCTCATTTGGGGTCTGTTCATTTGTCTCTGCATTTTGGCTGCCTGTTTGCATTTGTTTCTATGTATTTGGTAGGTCTGCTATGACTCCCAGTCTTGGAAGGGTGGCCTTATGTAGTAGGTGGCCTGTGGGACTCAGTGGTGCAGTCTCCCTGATCACTACCACTGGGTGCTCTAAGAATATCCCTTGTGTGTGCCGTGTGGGCGCACCTGTTGTAATTGAATCTTGATTGCTATCGGCCTGTTCACCTGAGAGCTTGACCCTCAGGCTGGTTGACAGTGAAGCTCAGTCCCCCAAAACAGTATGCAAGCTGCTGTGTAAATGCTGGTGATACGAAGTGGAATTTACCTCAGCTGGGTTTGGTGCCTGCTGAGATCTCCCTGTGGATATGCTGCTTGTGCGGCTTATTGGGTCCAGCTCCATTTTTGTGTAAAGCTGGCCACTGGGTTATTGTTTCTGGGCCTCTTTGGAGGGACTCTGGTATAAGCCAGTGTCAGACACTGTCTGTGTTTGGCCCCAGCAATCTGTTTGGGGCTCTCAATGACCCACACATTGTGGCTCTTTCTGCTGGGCCTGGGTGTGTATACAAAGCTTCAAACTGTGCGCCAGAGTCTGCTTTCACTAGCCTTGGCCAGAGAGCAGAGGGAAAGACTCACAGCACACAGGGATCTGCCTCTGTCTACAGGCTGTTTGTTAGTTTCAGTCCCTTAGTGAGCCTCTGACTGTAGAGCTCAGCTTTACAGAACTTCCATAAGGTGGGGCAAGAGGGATTCTAATGGGTGGGCTATTGCTTTCCCCCAGGGTAAAGCTGCATGGAGGGGAAAGGCCATCCTGAGAAATATATGGGTGATGACTCAACACAGGGATCCAGGCAGCCATCCCCTCAGCTCTCTCCCCAGAGCTACCAAATCTAGACTCTCCTCATACAGCTCTAGTCTCCTCTGCCCTCCCTCTGCCAGAGCCCAAGGGGAGTGGCCACAAATGAAATTTTGTGCATTAACCCTTTAAGAGGGGGCCTGAATTATTAGCTATCTCTCGCTGGTGAGCAGAAACTCTGCTGCTTTTCACAGCCAGATGTTCTGTGGACACCTTTCCTGGTTCTGTGCTCTAGATGGGGAAGCCAATTTTGGATTTAGAGCCCAGATTTGTCAGGGGGAAACTTCCTACAGTTGAGATCTCCTTCTGGAACTTCAGCTGCTGCCTATGGGAGTCTGGCCAGCCCTCTTACGCCTCTGCCCTTCCAACCAGTCTCCATGTGGCCTCCTCTTTAAGTCTTTGGTTATAAGGCTTCTCTTCAAGTAGTCTTCAGTTGGTTATTCAGGATGATTTTTCTATATTTTAGTTGTAATTCCAGTTTGGTCCTGGGAGAAGGTCAGTGTAACTTCTACCAAATCTGCTGCCATTTTGGAAACCCAGAAAATACTTTGAAGCACTACTTTGGTATTTATTTTTAAAAATTACTGATAATATTGTCCATAAATTATGACCTAAAAATCATGTTTTTGCATTTAACTATATCATTAGTTATTTTCAGAGGTGATATTTAGAAGGTACTGTTTGCTCTGTAATAATATCCACAATAACAAGACTGAAGTTATTTTCAGTTGAAAGAATATGAAAAATTATAACTTAGCTAGTCTGTGGTGCTACATAAATATTTATAAAAGATCTTAAATAGAACTGTACAACTGCATAAGCATTCTGTACTACATTAATTTTCCTCTTAAAATAAGCCATGATATAAAACGTGATAATCCCCAACTTCACAAATTACACAAAATCCTTCCTTGTTTTCTTAAAATTGCATGTACTGGGATGACATGGGTTAATAATATAATATAGGTTTAATGTGTACTGGTAAAATTCCATAATACAGAATCTATATATCATATTGTGTGTTCACCACTCCAAGTCTTGCTTCCTTCTGTCACGGTCTAACCCCTCTTTACTCTCTTCTATCATGCCCTACACCATTTCCTCGTGGTAATCACCACACAGTTACCTGTGTCTTTGAGTATTTTGGGGGAGCTTCATCCTTTCACTTAACCCCCCAAAACCCAGTCTCTCTGACAGTTGTCAGTCTGCTCTCTGTTTCTATGAGTCTGGCAGGGTCGGATGGACAGAGCTGGGCTGGGGGTCTCCTCTGCCTGCTCATCACAACTGGGCTGTGATATAGGGGAGCACACAGAGACTGCATAACCCTACAGGAGAGCTTGGAGAGGAAAAGCTGGAATAAAATTGCAAGTTATTTGTCCAATAAAAAGAAGATGGTGAAAAGGACTCCATGGGAGGAAATACTTTGGAGTAATAAACAGCTCATGGGGATAAAAAGTAGAAATGCATGAAGTTTAAGAATACAAAACCATTAATGTGAATACAAAAAATGGTAACAGATGGTTCATTTAAAAATTTAAACATTTTTAAAAATTAAAATGACTAAACATCTACCAAAACAAAATATTCCACAACACAAGAATAATAAAACTCCTTTTTAAAAGGCTGCTCATTTAGCTCGTGCTTATGGTCAGGTGCTCCCACCATAGTCGGCTGCTACACACTCTCATTTACATTTTAAGAAAAGGCTCTACATTTTAAGAAAATTACAAATTTTTCAATTCACCTCTCAGTATTTCGCCTGAATTTCTTTCTTTTTTTTAATCTTTATTGTTCATATTATTACAGATGTTCCTCTTTCCCCTCCTCCCCCACTGTTGCTCCCCTCCACCAGGTTCCCACCCAACCCTCTGCCGTTTCCCCCCATCATTGTCCTCATCCATAGGTGCACAGTTTTTATTCAGTCTCTTCCCGCACCCCCCTCTCCCCTTTTCCCTGAGAATCGTTAGTTCACTCCCCTTCCATACCTCTGATTCTATTATATTCACCAGTTCATATTGTTCATCAAATTAAAAAATTTTTTTTGTTTTGTTTTGAGGTTCACTTGTTGATAGTTACATATTTCTTGTTCATAGTTTTCATCTTTATTTACTTTCTCTTCCAAAAAAACCCACTTCAGCAATTCATATAATTCTGGTTTGGTGGTGATAAATTCCTTTAGCTTTTTTTTAATTGGTGAAGCTCTTTATCTGACCTTCGATTCTGAGTGATAGTTTTGCTGGGTAGATTATTTTTGGCTGTAGGTTCTTACTATTCATCACCTTGAATATTTCTTGCCATTTCCATCTGGCCTGCATGGTTTCTGTTGAGAAATCAGCTGACAATTGTATAGGTGCTCCTTTATAGGTAAGTACCTGCTTTGCTCTTGCTGCTTTTCTTATTCTCTCTTTGTCTTTTGCTCTTGGAATTTTAATTATGATTTGTCTTGGTGTGGTCTTCTTTGGATTCCTTTTGTTTGGAGTTCTGTGCGCTTCCTGGACTTGTACAGTAAGTCTAATTCTTTCACTAGGTGGGGGAAGTTTTCTGTCACTATTTCTTTCAGTATGTTTTCGATATCTTGCTCTCTCTCATCTTCTGGGATCCCCATAATTCTGATATTGGTTTGCTTGAAGTTGTCCCAGAGTTTTCTTACATTATCTTCAATTTTCTGGATTCTCTTGCCTTCTTGCTTCTGCGGAGGAGTGACTTCTGGCTCTTTATGTTCCAAATCTTTGACTTGATTCTTGCGATCTTCCATTCTGTTTTTAGGACTCTGTATAATATTTTTTATTTCAGACAATGTATTCTTTATTTCTTGTTGATCCCTTATTATTTCTAGTTGATCCCTTTACATATCCTCATAGGTCTCGTTTATTTTATCGGCTTTTTCTAGGAGATTCTTGAACAGCCTTATATGTGTGGTTTTGAACTCTATATCCAGTCGCTTTTTGTCCTCCCTTTCTTTCCTTTGTGATCTATTTCTTTGTCTCTGCATTTTCGCAGCTTCCCTGATGGGGCGGAGTTTCAGGGTGGAGCCTAAAGCCTTGGCTTCCGTCAGCCACGCTCTATGTGGCTCCTGAGTCTCAGTATTCCTCAGGATCCTTCAGTACTTGCTGCAAGAACCTCTGAGAGTGAGGTGCACTCGAGTGTCGCCTGCTACCAAACAGTCCAGTCTCTCCCCCAATGGGCCTGGAACTGGGGTTCAGTTCAGTAGGAAGTGGGATTGGAGGTAGAGTTCAGAGCAGTCTGGAGCCCCTGTTTCCTTCCCGCCAGGTTAATCCCGCGGCACAAACAACCGTCCCTTCTCTGCGCGCAATGTGTGCACCTCCAGGTGCTCTGCCTTTTGCCACTCCCCAGGGGTTCCGCCTCACAGTCCAGGCTCCCTCTGTTTGAGCCTGGGTCCCCAGGGTCTGGCTTAGAACTGGGGTTCAGAGCAGTCGGAATTGGGGCTCAGCACAGTCTGGAGCTTTATCTCGTTCCCACTAGGGAACGCCAGCCAGGCAGTCAGCATCCCCCTCCTTTCCAGCTCTGTCCTCTCTGAATGCTTCCTCTTAGGCTTTTACAGCTCCTCTGCTCTTCCTTCTGGTTTTCTCCATGCTTCTCATTGTAGAATTTCCAGTCAGTCGACTTTCCTGTAGTTCTGGATAATGTCCATTTTATATTTTAGTTGTATTTTATTGAAATTGTTGTGTGCGGCTGTGGTTAGGTGTTTACCTGTGCAGCCATCTTGGATCCTCCCGCCTGAATTTCTTGACTAATTTTCTCTATATCTAGAATATCATGATCACACCAAATAATATTCACAATAATTCTCTATCATAATTTAATACCCAGCTGTCATTCATAGTGTCCAAAATGTGCAAAAAAAAGTCCTATACATGACATCTGATGAATGGTTCATCTCCTATGCAGCTTGCTATTAAGAAAAATCTCTCCTGTTAAAAACTTCTTTACGAAATTGATTTGTTGAAGATCTGGGCCATTTGCTGACTGCCCATTTATATATGTATGTGTGTGTGTGGTGTATATATATATATATATATATATATATATATAATTGATATTTTACAGAGAAGAAGAGAGAGGGATAGAGAGTTAGAAACATCGATGAGAGAGAAACATTGATCAGTTGCCTCCTGCACACCCCCCACTGGGGATGTGCCCACAACCAAGGTACATGCCCTTGACTGGAATTGAACCTGGGATCCTTCAATCGGTAGGCTGATGCTCTATCCACTGAGCCAAATTGGTTTCGGCTTGACTGCCATTCTTAATCAAGACATATTTCAATTTTTGGGAAGCTAATCTTGGATATACCGTATTTTTTGGACCATAAGACGCACTTTTTTTCCCCCAGAAGTGGGGGGGAAAAGTCCCTGCGTCTTATGGTCCAAATATAGCCTACACATATACTTTAAAAAAAAGTTTTTTTACTTGCCCGGCTCTGTGTGGTCTCTGTGTGCTTGCCCAGCTCTAAAATGGTTCTAAATGCTGCTGTTTACTTTACAGGGTTGATTACATGTGTTTATGACTGTGATGTTGGGTTTTAATGCACATAAAATATTTTAGGACACTATTTGTTTCGGAACCTTTTTTTCTTCATTTCCCTTCTCTAAAAACTGGTGCGTCTTATGGTCCGGTGCGTCTTATGGTCCGAAAAATACGGTAAGTGGGGAGGAGGTTGAAATAAGGTTATGTCTTCCATCCTGCTTCAAGTCTCCCCACCCCCACCCCCACCCCAAATCTGCATTCTGTGGAGCCTCTATTTTTAATTTCCTGCCTCAGGGCAGACGTGGATGCGGAACTTCTGTTTTCACTATGACAGTTGCAGGGAACAGAAACCTAAGATTGTCACTGGAGATAAAATGTAAAAAGAGCTAGCCAACCTTGATGGCTCTGAATGGTCAGAGCTATCAACTCATTGTCTAGTTGAGATAGTGGTGCTTGAGGCAACTTTAATTTGTTAATCATATGTAAATGTAAATTGATTTTCTATTGTTGGAACTTCCTGCCTTAGAGATGTCTTTGTTTCAGAATCTCAATAAAAGGAATGTTTAAAAGCCAGAGAAGGGTTAGTCTTCCCACTAGAGGTGGACTTCCTGCCTGGCCCCCATTTTCCCAAATTAAGTCTTTTCCAGTCTCTCTCTTCATTTTGGTGTGCGGCCTTCTCCAGAAGCCGGACCCTGAGTGGGCCCTGAACCACGCGGGTCATGTTAAGGGATCCCACAGATAGTCCCTGTATTTCTCAATGTGAATGCTCACCTGTGGCCACTCTGAGGCCCTTTCCTCTTAATTGAGTCCGCACAGTGACAAAGTCTCACCAGCTGTTGTGGCTTCACTTCCCAGCCTGGCATTGGGGATGAGCCCACGGCAGCCCAGCTCTGGGGCCCTATTTACAGGACATTGGTTAAGGGTGAGCTACGGCCTTCCATACCTCCCCTCATGCGGGCTGAAATGGGGTGCTAGATGGGACCTCCCTCCTCAGCATCCCCCCACTGCTCTTCTCTTTCTCAGCTCTGCCTGCCACTTGACTCTTCTCTAGAAAGAGCACTCAGCAACCAGGAATATGGCGCCAGGGCTCCTGACAGACAGGGATAAGGTGAGTCCTGAAATTTCTTTCCAGCTCTTGCAGATGGCCCCATGGCCTTTTCTTGTCCTAATATCTTGCTAGTATTAGGCAATACCCAACCCTGACCCTGGAATGTGGCCCATCTTACCTGGAGCCTTTTCATTCATGACTCAGCAATTTACCAAGTATCAAACTTTGATTGCAGTTAAATTAAAAATACTGGATATTCGTGCTTAAGTGCCCAGTGACTCCAGGGCCTAATAAAGTGTAGGAATGCTGTTGAGGGAAGAAGTGACTGCCTCCTCCGCCTCCCCTCTGTCCCCCCATGGACTTGGCAAGTTGAAGAGCTGAGGGAAGGCCTTTCTGTTGATAAAGGCTGGAAGCACAGTGTGTCTCAGTCTGGGTGACTCACCGCATGGGAAGCTTGGAGCTGCCAGTGACCTTGGGTCACATCAGTTTTCTGAGTGGAAGGAAGGGTGCTGACTGTTTTTGTTTGTGACTCAGATAGATTTAGTTTGACTGGACACATGCTTCATATTTAAATGAGTTTCCACACATTGGGAGATTACACCTAAAGGTCTGGATTGCCAACTTCTCTGAGAACAGATCATTTCCCGCTGTCCTACAGCTACACTCTTGGGCAGATGGCTAGTGGCTGGAGACAAACAGCATCTCCACTGAGTAGTCGTGCCCTTTTGCCCCAAGGCCGAGTGCCGGCTTCACTCCACTCATTACTTGCCATGCCCCTGAAGGCTTTGCCTTCTCCTCCTCTGAGCCTGGATGGAGACAGTTCAGACTCCTGAAAGCCAGGCTTAGTATGGACTTGAACCTGGAGCAAGATGTGCTTTGAAGGGTTTTGAGAAAGAGTTTGCCATGTTGAAATGAAGGGTTTGGAAGTGTATAATGGAATGGATAGGAAGATGTCTAATCTCTCAGGAAGCATGGGAGCTTGTCGTAATCTGGTGCAGTTAACATTTACTGGCCGCCTGAACAGACTCCGTGGGCACTCTGTGCTGCTATACTAGCCACTCAGCATAGCGTCACTGTGCTCATTCAGATTTGTATTGCCTGTTCTGTTAAGAAGGCAGATTTCTTTCTTTTTTTTTTTTTTTTCCAAGAAGATCTAAACTTCATGTTAATACTGGGCTCATATTGTAGATATTTTCCTATTACTACGCAAGTTAAAAATCTTTGGTTTTGATGTTATCAGGCATCATTGAGAGCTATGTGTCCCTCAATCTTCAAATCTTTTATACCTTGCAGGGGTCCTCAAACTTTTTAAAGTGGGAGCTAGATCATGGTGCCTCAGGGAGCTGGAGGGCCGGACTATATGAGCTACTAATTCCTACTGTAACACCTCGGCTGCGCTCACTGCCCAAAAAACCTGGTGGGCCGGATCAGACTCTGCGGGCCGCATGTGGCCCTCGGGCCGTAGTTTGAAGACCCCGAGGAAAAAAAATGTGTATATAGTGTATACAACTCAGAATGTTCCCTAATGTAGGAGGGAAACTGTTATTTTGTACGTTTCACTTTACCACTTACAGTGTTGATGGAGAAGCTGTACCAGCTTACTTTCCCCATACCTACTCTGCCACTTCCCATGGACCCTTAGCATACCCTGAGCTTAATCCTGTCTGTGACAACACTTCTTCCTTTGGTTCGCTTCCTGGTGAAAAGCTGATACCAGGCAAGAGCACCTGAGTGGGCTGGTTTTTAAGGTGAAGTTTCCATACCTGGAAGAGTGTCAGGCACTCAACACACTCTAATAAAGAGACCAAAGATTAACTAATTTTGAAAGAATGAAAGAACCAAAGGGGTTTGTTTTGCTCTTTGTTGTTTGAGGCATAGAAATTACACATTTAAGGATTCTTGAAATTGTTGAGCACCCTTGCAGCAGCCACGCCCATTCTGACCAGTGACCTGTTCTCAGGTGAGAATGGCAGGCAAGTTCCTTCCCTATGTCACCCCGACTTTACCAGGCACGTGTCTATTCTCCCTGTCCAGCCCGCCCCCAGTGCTCTGTGGGGAATAGGCGGGTGGCTCCCGGGAGAGTGTAAAGCTTTAGCTTCCTGGCGAAGCTGCCCAAATGTCTTACCTATAATATTTGGCTTTGAGGGAGGGGAGACCCCAAAAGAGCTGGCTACAGACCTGAAGAGGACTATACAGTTGTTCTTGTTTGTCCCTTTCTTTTTTCCTGTTGTTAATAACTAGGTTAATTACAATGGTATCAATATCTCCAGATATACACTGGGGGTTAGGGCTTAACATATGATTTTGGGAGGACACAGTCAGCCCACAGCACCCCATAGATCTTGTGACTGTGAAGAAACCTTTAGTCAAATTTTACAGCAAGTGTCAGGGAATCCACAAGTGAAAATTCATAGGGGTAGAAAGAAACCTATGAATACACTGAATGTGAAACTCTGGATCTAAAATCAACATACAAAAGTCAGTTGTATTTCCATACATTTCCAGTGAACTATCTAAACAAGATTAAAAAAACAAATAAAACACATTTATAATAGCATCAAAAAGAATAAAATACTCAGTAGTGAATTTAACCAAGTAGGCAAAATCTTGCTCATTAAAAATTAGAAAACATTGATGCAATTACAGATGACCTAAATCAGTGGAAAGTCTCCCCATGCTTATGGGTTGTAAGATAATATTGCTAAAATGACAGCAGCAGTGAAGGTGATCTATAGATTCAATCCAATCCCTATCAAAATCCCCGTAAGTGTGTGTGTGTGCTGGAGAAATAGAAAAATCTTTTCTAAAATTCATTTGGAGTCTCACAGGACCCTGAATAGCCAAAACCAGTTAAAAAAAGAAAAAGAACAATGGAAGGATTCACACTTGCTGATTTCAATACTTTGTCCCAAGCTACAAACAGTTAGAAAACCGTTGTCTTGCCAAAAGGATAAAAATATAGATGGCAGAGTAGAATGGAGAGCTCAGAACAAATAACCCTCACAGAGATAGTCAGCTGATTTTCAGCAAGGGTGCCACGTCCATTCAGTTGGAAAAATACCAAGTCCATCCAATTGGACAACGGGGTATCCAGTTCCGCTCACAGAACACACTTAAGATAAATGAAACATTAGAACACTTCTGCAGAGAAACAGAAGTTATTACGAGTAGGCATATGGAACGTTCAGAACTGAAAAATACATACCTGAAGAAAAGCTCAGGAGCAGATTCAAGGGAACAGAAATCAGAGAAAAGAAGTTAGAACAACATAAATTACCCAATCTGTACAACGTGGAGAAAACATACTGAAGAAAAAATGAACAGTCTCCTGAACTGTGGGAATATAACAAAATACCTAACCTGTGTGCCACTGTAGTTTTGGAGAAGAAGTGAAGGAGGATGGGGCTGAAAAACTATTAGAAAATCAATGACTGCAAACCCCCCAAATATGGCAAGAGACGTAAACCTACAGATTCATAAAGCCTCGTGAATATCAAACATGGTAAACCCACTGAACTCCATGCCAAGACACTTTATAATGAGTCTTCTGCAGACTAAACCTCAGGAAAACACCTCGAAAGGAGCCAGGAAAAAAAAAACACACAAAAAAACATTTTTCTCATTGGGGGAAAAACTATTAGAAGGGCAGTGGATTTCTCATCAGAAACCACGGGTTAGACGGAAAGGGTGCAGTGTTTTTCAGGAGCTGAAAGGAAGGAATGGTTAATGCCAAGTCCTGTACCAAATGAAAACATCTTCCATGAGTGAAGGGGGAGATCAGGAAATTCACAGATGAAAGAAACTGGGAATTTGTTTCCAGGAGAATGAATAAAGGCAATTTTATTAACAAATGGAAACAATAAAAGAGGAAACCTTGGAACATCCATGCGCAGCAAAGAATGAGCATAGCAGGCTTGCCACCTTTCTCCTTAGACAGTCCTACTGGCTGTCACCCTCTGGCTGCATCAGGACCCGGCATTTCAGGAGGATTGGCAGGGTTCCCAGAACTGACAGGACCTCGATTTATACTATGTGCTAGGCAGAGGGTACCTCTGGGCCGGCTCCTATTAAGTCAGCTGAATACTGAGCCTCTTAGGAATTTTACTGTTAGACAACATTTAACACATATTGTCACAAGTCCTTGCGTCTGCACTGGGAGAGGATTCTAGTTCCTGGTTTCCTCTCTGTGGCTTTTGCTTTGTATCCTTTTGTTGTAACTGCAGCCATGCGTACAACTGTATGGTGTGTCTTGTGATTCCTCATAATGAACGTCAACCTAAGGGTGATGTTGGGAACCCTTGACACACTCAGGATGAAACAGAACACGGGAAGGAAAAATCGGGTAAACACAGGAGGCACTCCTCCTATACAGGAGTTTCCTAAAGTAATTTTGTGATTGAAACAAAAATAACTACGTGGCCTGATGTGATTCTAAATGTATACAAAGGAAGTACTTTAAAAAGTTACATTTTAAGTAGGAAGGGAAAGAGGATGTATTGGGAAGTAAGGTTTCTATATTTCATTCAAACTGGTAAAATGACATGAGCAGGAGATTGATAAGTTATGTATACATAATGCATCACATAGATTCTAGGTCCTAGAACAACTATTAAAAAATGCTAAATAAAGAGATATACTAAAAAACATTATAGGTAAATCAAAATTCAATTTTTGGGAAAACTCAAGTTAACCCACCAGATGTAATAAGTAAACTGAGACAGCCTAAGTGCCCATCAGCAGGCGAGTGGATTAGAAAACTGTGGTACATCTACACAATGGAATTCTACACTGCTGTAAAAAAGAAGGAACTCTTACCATTTGCAACAGCATGGATGGAACTGGAAAGCATTATGCTAAGCGAAATAAACCAGTTAGAGAAAGATAAATATCACATGATCTCACTCATTTGTGGAATATAATGAACAACATAAACCAATGAACAAAAATAGAATGATGCTTCTAGAAACATAGAAGCATTGAACAGACTGTCTAACTTATGAGGGAAGACAGGGGTGGGGGAGAGGGGTAAGAGATCAACCAAAATTTGTTAATTTGCATACATATTAACAAAATCAATGGATGCAGACAGAAGGTTTGTGCTTGGGGGAGGAGGTGGAGCAGGAGAGGTCAATGGGGGAAAAGGAGACTCATGTAATACTTTAAGGAATTTTTTTTAAAAAAAGAAAACTGAGAAACAAAATTAGAATGTTCATCAACTGAAAGAGACTGGCACAGTGGATTAAAACAACAATCATGTGCTATCTAAATGGAATTTCAAACACAGTGTAGTTAAAACACGGGATAAAAAAGGTGCATCATGTAAGCACTAATTAAATACAGCGAGAGTGACTGTATGAATACAAGCTTAGGTAGACTTCAAAGCAAGGAGAGTTACAGCCACAGAGGGCCAGTTCACCTGGAAGAGATATGGTCTTCAATGTATACACATCAAATAACTGATTCAAATAGGAGAACAGAAAATTGAAAGGAGAAATGAACAAGTCAACAATCCAAGACATAAATATCTTTCTGTCAAAGGTAGAATAGCTAGACCCAAAATCAGTAAGAACTTAACACCATCAAACAACAGAATCTAATCAACATTTACAGAACATTCCACCCAGCAATAGCAATGTACATATTCTTTTCAAGTGCCCTCAGAAACATACACCAAGAAGACATATCCTGGGCTATAAAACAACACAACACAAAATAAAAATTTCTTTACTGTAACAAACTTTGAAAAGTTGAAATCATACAAAAGTGTATTCTCTGACCACAATGAAGTCAATATGAGGAAGTTCACAGAAAATTCTCTAAACATTTAGAAAAGAAATGATACACTAGAAGGAATAATCCATGAATCAAAAAAGTCAAGTTTCGAGGGTAATAAAAACATACATGAAAAGGAAATGCAATATATCAAACTAAGATGCAGCTAGAGGAGCCCTGAAAGTAAAACCTATAGCACTGGATAAGTGTATATGTTAGAAACCGGAAATGTCTTAAGTCAGTCATCTCAGCTTCCACCGTAAGAACCTTACCAAAAGCTTCCTACGAACCTACTGTTACGGAGCGAGTCCCCAAGAGATGGACCACCGAAGCCAATTTGATTAAGCCAGCAAGAATTTATTACAGATTCGAATCCGGGCTCAAACCTTGGCTGACGCAGCAGCCAGCAAACACCCAGGTGAGAGCCCCGATGGAGGGGCAGTCCCTCCAGAGCGCTTACACAAAAACACCGACAAACACACACCTACTGCCGCCAGTCAGGCTCTCCGGAATGGGGGTCCCTCATGGTCCTGGCTGGGGATTCCAGTCATGATCCCCAAGGACCACCAGGGAGCCGAGTCCGATGCAATAAACAAAAGAGCCTTTTCCATGCTAGCATGGGCTGTCCCACTCACGCTGGCAGCATGTCGGAAGAGAGCAAATTTCGCCCAGTCCAGGGGTTTTACTCAGGTCGGTGGTGATGTCACTGCCTTGGCTAACCCTGATTGGCCCCTCAGGACAAAGAACTGGCCGTCCTTATCTGTTCCTAAATCCTAAAGACTAAATTCTAAAGACTGGGGACAGCCTGCAGGGTTGGTTCCCAGTCACACCCTGCTGGACATTGGAATGTGGCCCTATCTTGCCCATAATACAAAAGCAGAACTAAAGCTTATCTATAGTTTCTACCCCTGAAGCTACTGAGTCAGTGGGAGTCAATCTCCTGTAACTACCCTATTGTTTAAGCAAGTAATCGAAGGTCGAAGTCAGATAGCAAGGTTAAAATTCAAACAGCAGTTTTTACCCAAGTATGATTGCTACCACATTTCACCTACAAAAATAAGAGCAAAATCAAGTGAACAAATGGAAGGAAATAATAATTATAAAGGCAGAAATCAATAAAATTGAAAAAATAAAAATAGAGAAAAAAGATGAAATAAGAGCTGCTTCTTTGATAACAAAATTGATAAACATTGAGCAAGACTAAGAAAAAGAGGTTAGACACAAATTACCAGTGTCAAGAATTTAAAAAGGGATATTACTCAACTCTAGCCATCAGGAAATTTCAATGAAATGCACCTATTTCTTGAAAAACAAAAAGTACCTTCACTTGCCTGATACGGAATAGATAATTTGAACAGCCCTTTAAGGAAGTCCAATTTGTAATTTAAAAACTCCCACAGAAGAGCCCTGGTTCGTTTGGGCTCACTGGATAGGTGGTCGGCCTGTGGACTGAAAGGTCCCAGGTTTGATTTCAATCAAGGGTATGTACCTTGGTTGTGGGCACATACCCAGTAGGGGGTGTGCAGGAGGCAGCTGATCGATGTTTCTCTCTCATTGATGTTTCTAACTCTCTCTCCCTCTCCCCTCCTCTCTGTAAAAAATCAATAAAATATGTTTAAAAAACAACAACAACAAAAAACTTCCCACAGAAGAGATGTATAGGTCCAGGTGATTTTACTGTAGAATTATGCCACGTTTTTAAAGGAAGCTTAACTCCAATGCTATATAATTTCTTCCCGAAAATAAAAGCGAGGGGAACACTTTCCAATTCACTTTATGGGGCAGGAATTAAACTGATAGCAAAAGCAGATAAGGACAACAGAGAAATCTAAAACTGGAGATCAACATCTCTCATGAATATAGACGTGAAAATCCTTAAAGTATTAACAAATTGAATTCAACAATATGTAAAAGTAACTATATACCATTACCAAGGACCATTTATTTCAGGATACAAAACTGGATCCATATTTGAAATTCAATTAATATAACCCTCAATATTGACTAAAGAAGAAAACCACATGATTATATCAGATGATGCAGTAAAAAATATTTGACAAAATTTAGCAACCATTCTGAAAAGCACAGATCAGTAGTAACAGATGGTAACTGCTCAATTTTCTAGGGACATCTACTGTTGGGAGCCGAAAAAGAATTAGTGACTACATCTTAAAAGAAACCTCCATCTTAGACACTGAGTTTCTGACTTACCAGAACTCATGTGACAAGCTGCGGTGTGGCAGTTAACTAGAAACAATCTAAATGCCTAGCAGCATATCTGGCCATCGAGCAAGGCACACCTGTTGTGAAACTCGCCCCGCCCCGGAGAATCTCTGCTGTATCCTCCCCTGCAGGCACATCCTGCTGATACACAACCCTCCCCGCCCTGGAATGTCTCCGCGGAAACTTCCCCCTACCTGTGTACATATATTGCGGCTACAACAAATAAAATTTGAGGCTTGATCAGAACCCTGTCTTGCCTCCATTTCTCCGCGTCTCCTGTCCTCCTCATTCCCTTCCAGGTGTCTCCTCGCAATCTACAAAAATTCTAGAGCTAATTTTTAATTGTTAACATTTATATTACAAAATTTCTTTTTAAAATTCTTTTAGTTGTATTTTATTGAAATTGTTGTGTGCAGCTGTGGTTAGGTGTTTACCTATGCAGCCATTTTGGATCCTCCTAGTTACCATTTAAATTTTTTTTTTAAGATATATTTCAAGATATATTGATTTTTTACAGAGAGGAAGAGAGAGGGATAGAGAGTCAGAAACATCGATGGGAGAGAATAATGGATCAGCTGCCTCCTGCACACCCCCCACTGGGAATGTGCCCACAACTAAGGTACGTGCCCTTGACTGAAATCGAACCTGGGATCTTTCAGTCCACAGGCCGATGCTCTATCCATGATGCTCAAACCAGTTTTGGCCAAAATTTCTTATTTTAACAATTCTTAAATATATATTAGGTCTTTGATTAATGTGTTTTGATTTAATATCATTTTTTTTTTTTTTTTTTTTTTAGGGTATAAAAATTTATTACACATACAGGATACGACCACTAATGAATGCAGACAGGCTAGGACACATGGTGTCAGAGGGAGGACAGCTAGCTCTTGGGAAGTGAGCAGGTCTTGGGAAGTGAAGCTCAGAGCTTCATGCCACGCTGACTGGTCAGTCAGATGGAAGAGCACGTGCCAAACACCAGGGTGTCAGGGTGTCAGGCGACCGCTCTGTGCGCCCACTGCCTTCCCCGTCGGACCTGTGGCTCTGCAGGATGCCACCCCCAGAGGGAGACAGTGGAGCAGAGGGGCTTCCCCAGGTGGCCCAGGCTTGTCTCGGAAGTCACAGCAACACCACTTTAAGCAACATGTTTAATTGGGTGATTTCCACAAACTACACGAAGCCTCTAACTGGGCAATCCAGTGGAGTAAAAACATTAAGTTCCAGGGAGGAGAAGGCAGCCCGTGGTGGCACCTTCCAATCTCGGTTGGCCTAGGGGTAAGGGGTGAGGAAGGTTTCTTTTTAAACCAAGCCCCTCATTTCAATGTACAAAAGAATTACTCTGATTGATATTAAATTGTATTGAAAACAAAATGGCCTAAAAAGCAAATACTATCTATGTTGGGGTGGAAGTGGGAGGAAAGAATGAGTCCTTCAAAGCAGGAGGGGAGACAGTTGGGCAAAGGTTCCGTGGCTGTGACCCCAGGGAGTCACTCTCGCTGCTCCATTTTTACTTTTGGTGGTCTCAGGAAGGTCCGGTTTTTCTTCTCTTTCTTCCCCTTTGTATTTGCTTGGAAGTTCCGCCAGCTGTCCACACGACCATCTCGACTTTCCTCAAAGTTTTTCTGCCACTCCCTTTCACGTTTGGCTTTTTCTTGAGCTTCAATTTTTTCTTCCCTTTGTCGCTTCCTTTCATGCATCTCTTTGGCTTCTCTCTCCTTCCTTTTAATTTCCAGCTCAGCAAAGAGTTTCATGGTCTGTTTGTATACTGCTTGCTTGAACAGCTCTGGATCATCCTCCTCTACATTTGTAGGTTTTCCTTCCTTCTTTAATTGCTTTTTTCGCTCTTTCATAGTGTGTCCCACGTATTCTTTTCCTGCCTGAATTACATCCAGGGCCCTCTTCTTTTGTTCCTGATCCAGTAGCAACTTGTAAGCTTTGTCCACAGCTTCAAAAGCCTTTTGTGCTCTGTCAGCATCATCTTGATTTTTGTCAGGATGCACCAAAATGGATAACTGCCGAAACCTCTTTTTTATTTCTTCATCTGTCACTTCTGGATCTATCTGAAGAACCTCAAATGGGTTCAAATTGAAGTAGGAGGAACCAGGACGGGTCAATCTTTCAATCTGATTTTTGGATGTTAGAACTGAATCTCTTTTCTCTATCTGTTTCACCTCAATGTAGAAGGTCATAAACGCCTCCTCCGTGCTGCCTCCGCCGCCCGAAGCCCCGCTTTCCCCAGAAGCCGCCATCTTCCCCGGCCCAGGCACCACGTGACTCTTCTCTGATTTAATATCATTTTGTTATAATGATGAGATACTATAGGAACTTAACTGTGGTTTATATCAATTAGTTTATGGTAAAATTGGTTTCATGATACATCATTTTACTTAAAGTCACAGACCTATAAAGAATGTCAAGTGAGGAATTAGTCCAGTTCAATTGCATAAAGTTCATTCACAGTGTTGTACAACTGTCATTCCAATTTCAAAAATGTTTTCATCTTCACAAAGTGAAAATCTATTTATTAAAACAGTAACCCCATCCCCGTACCCCATTCCTCCCAGTTACTGGTAACCTCTATTTTACTTTGTGTCTCTATGAATTTGCCTATTCTATGTATCTATTATGGTGGAATAAAAAAAATTTGTCCTTTGTGACTGACTTATTTCAACTTATTATATCAATAGCATTATGTCTTCAAGGTTAATCCATAATTTAGCATGTATCAGAATGTCCTTTTTTAAGGCTGAATAATATACAATTATCTGTACATAATTGAGCAAATGTGAATAACTACCTGTTTGAGTCCCTGCTTTCAGTTCTTTGCTGGACCCTATAGTAAAATGTACATTTAAGTTTTTGAGGAAATGCCCAACTCTTTTCCATAGAAAACACAATTTTACTTTTATCACTAACAATGCCCAAAGGTTCCAATTCTCTACTTCCTGCCAAAAAATTATTATGTTCTGTTTCTTTGGTATTCTAGTGAGTAATGTGTCATCTCAGTATTCCTAAAGCTGAAGATATGAAGTTTCCCTCCTTATATCAAGCACAAGACAAGGATGTCTGCTCTTACCACTCTTATTCAGCAATGCGCTGTAAGTGCTACAATGAAGGCAAGAAGAGGAAATGGAATCAGACATTCCTAAGGGAAGAAATAAACCTGTCCCTATAAGCAGATGCCATAATTGTCTATGTAGAAAATCTCAACGGGCCTTAGAGAAAAAATACTCAGAGCTAGCAAGTGAGTTTAGCCAGGTTGCAGGATTCAAGATAAACATACAAACAGTTGTACTTCTGTAACATAACAATGAACATATGGCCACTGGAACAAAAAATATAATTTAAAAAAGAAGAAATTCTTAAAACACATATAGGACTCATGTGCTGAAAACCCCAAATGTTGATGAAAGAAATCAAAAGAACATGATTTATGGACTTGAAGAGTCAACATAGTAAAGATGTCAGTTCTCCTCCAATTGATACACAGGTTTAATGCAAATCTCATCAAAATTCCAGTGACTTTTTTTTTTTTGGTTGCTATAGATGAGATTATTCTAAAATTAATAGGAAGGACCTGCATAGGGCGGGGCTGACAGAAGCCAAAGCTGCAGGCTCCACCCTGAAACCCCGTCCCATCTGTAACTGCGAAATGCGACAACAAAATAGATCACAAACGAAAGAAATGGAGGACAAAAAGCGTCTGGATATAGAGTTCAAATCTACGCTTATAAGGTTTTTCAAGAATTTCCTAGAAAAGATGGATAAGGCCTATGAGGATACGAAAAGAGATCAACTAGAATTAATAAGGAGTCATCGAGAAATGATAAGGAATCAACAAGAAATAAAGAATACATTGTCTGAAATGAAAAATATTTTACAGAGTCCTAAAAACAGAAGGGAAGATCACAAGAATCAAGTCAAAGATTTGGAACATAAAGAGCCAGAAGACACTCCTCCACAGAAGCTAGAAGGCAAGAGAATTCAGAAAATTGAAGATAATGTAAGAAACCTCTGTAACAACTTCAAGCGAACCAACATCAGAATTATTGGGGTCCCAGAAGATGAGAGAGAGCAAGATATCAAAAACATACTGAAAGAAATAATGACAGAAAACTTCCCCCACCTGGTGAAAGAATTAGACTTACAAGTCCAGGAAGCGCACAGAACTCCAAACAAAAGGAATCCAAAGAGGACCACACCGAGACACATCATTATTAAAATTCCAAGAGCAAAAGACAAAGAGAGAATATTAAAAGAAGCAAGAGCAAAGAAGGTAGTAATCTATAAAGGAGCACCTATACGATTGTCAGCTGACTTCTCAACAGAAACCATGCAGGCCAGAAGGGAATGGCAAGAAATATTCAAGGTGATGAATAGCAAGAACCTACAGCCAAAAATAATCTACCCAGCAAAGCTATCACTCAGAATCGAAGGCCAGATAAAGAGCTTCACTAATAAAAAAAAGCTAAAGGAGTTCATCACCGCCAAACCAGAATTATTGTATATGAATTGCTGAAGGGGGTTCTTTCAGAAGAGAAAGTAAACAAAGATAAAAATTATGAACAACAAATATGTAACTATCAACAAGTGAATCTAAAAACCAAGGAAATTAAAAAAATCTGATGAACAATATTAACTATTGAATATAATAGAATCAGAGGTATGGAAGGGGAGTGAACTGACGATTCTTGGGGAAAAGGGGAGAGGGGGGCGTGGGAAGAGACTGAACATAAACTGTGCACCTATGGATGAGGACAATGGGGAGAGGGGAAAGGGCAGAGGGTGGGGTGGGAACCTGGTGGAGGAGAGCAATGGTGGGGGGTAAAAAAAAGGAACATTTGTAATAATATGAACAATAAAAACTTATAAAAAAAATTAATATGGAAAGGCACATGCCCTAGAACAGTGGTCAGCAAACTGCAGCTCGAGAGCCATATGCGGTTTGCTGCTCTGTTGATTAATGAGTTTGCTGACCATTGGGATAGGGGCTTAATCACAAGGAACGACAACAGCCTGTAATTATTAGAATCAAGAGTCTAGGTCATGTGACTTGCAAGTGCAGTTTGCCAACCACTGCCCTAGAATGTTGGTGACAAGATGTAAATTGACAAGGTCCTTGCAGTCGAGGGGGCTAGCAAGGCTGGCCCCCTACCCTCACAGTTTCCCCAGACTTGTTTGGATGGCGATTATCAGTAGAATGAGAGCAACCTTTCATGGCTTGCCAAGAAGTCTGTAATTATTTACTGAGATTTACTGTCTAAGAATTTGGCCTTTGGCTCTCTCTCTCCTTTAGAGATTAAGAGGAACAAAGAATGCATTCCTCTTGACAGACCTCCTATTCAGTGTCTTATGTATAAAAAGCATTGCGCAATTAATAAACTTGTTAAGGTCGGTCAATGGCTACCTGTAGTCCTCCCAATCCCGCTTTCCTGTTTTTCTTTCTTTTCTCAATTCCTACCTCCCGGTTCACCTGCCAGGCTGGTCCTGGCACTAGAATAGCTAAAATACCTTTAAAATGAACGATGAAGTTGGAGGAATCACACCAGCTGATTTTAAGGCCTGCTGTATAGCTACAGTTATCAGCACTGTCTTTGACAGTGCCACGGACTAGAGGTCAGCGGAGCAGAACAGAGAACTAAATATACTTACCAGCCACGTGGGCAGGGGGGTTATTGAGTTGACACGTGGCATCGGGTTCAGGTTAGAAGCAGGATCTAGGGGCCCTTCTAGGTGTCCACACCAGCCTTCTTGCTGCCTCAGGGCTGGCTAGTAGAGTAGGTGAACTGATTGGGTGTGGCTGGCTCCTGGGTGAGCAGGGATGTGTTTCTGTTACAGACAGCAATCGCCTTCAGAGATGTAGCTGTGGCCTTCACACAGAGAGAGCGGGAGCTGCTAAGTCCTGCCCAGAGGACCCCGTATCGGGATGTCATGCTGGAGACCTACAGCCATTTGGTGTCGCTAGGTAAGGTCAGCCCTTTTCAGGTCTTGGTCATTTCAAGATTTAGGCAGCAGCTGCCAGGCTTTTGGGTGAGAAAGAAAAATAATATTTTCCCTACTTCCCCAGAAAATGTCTGGGCTCTCCTGCTTAGAAAACAGTGCAGTTATTGGGTGTGTGGATGTGGTACCTGACTCATCTCATCCCAGGAAGTGACTTGCCAGGCCCCTTCCTCCCAAGAGATGGTGCTTCCAGAGGGGGAATATTTGTGTTCAGTGAAGCGCAGGGGAGTCAGTTGATGCTCTTAGGCCCAGAGGTACCCGCCCCCCTTCCCTAGTCACTCTGTAGCATCCAGAGCCTTGGCCCTCCTCTGCCTCCTCACCCCTCTGGGCTGTGGCATTCCCAGCTGACTCTAAGTTCTGATTGCCTTTTAACCCGCTAACCCAAGGTCACCTTGCTTTCTGTTCCTGTGAGTAGGAGTTGCCTTTTCCAAACCAAAATGCATCACACAACTGGAGCAAGGGGACGGGCCCTGGCGAGGAGCGCGCGCACGCCTTCAGGAACTCTGTCCAGGTGAGTGGGAAGCACCAGGCGGACAAGGACCCAGGCCAGTGAGGCGCTTAGCGGGTGAGGAAGGGGGAGCATCTGTGAGCTCCTGGGGGAAGCTCTCCTCCAGCCCCCCCTCCCATGCCCCCTGCTCACCACAGAGAGGGCCCCTGGCACAGAGCCCTCCTCCCCCGGGAGCATCGCTCCCTCAGTGGCGTCCCTTCTGCAGCACACCCAGGCTCTCCCTGTTCTGGGCTTTTCCTGTTGGGCCTGATCTTCAAAGTAACTTCCCTCTGAGCCTAAGCCCTCTGCCCTGCTAGATAATGTCCTTCACTATTCGTAACCTGGTAACACTTTTGTGCGTTGATTCTAGCCATACATTCTGTTAACTTTTTTTTTATTTTATGATGGTTTATTTAAGATTACAACAGGGAATAAAGAATTATGCGGTGAGCACCACTGTGCCTTCCCTGCAGCCTGACGGACATTCTAGGTCCAGCGACAGCCCCGCAGCTTCCCTGGTGGTATTTTGCTCCTCTATCCGGTCTCTGAGAGTTCAGTGCCTGCATCAGCATTTCCATGACGACCTTTTCCCTCATTTTCCATTTGAGGTTTCTTCAACCATATAGAGCGGCCATTTCCACCAGTGTGCAGCGGCGCTGGGGCGTGAGGCAGGCACCGCTGCAGCCTAAGCAGGTTGAGGCCACGCCTGCCCGTGCACACCGGTGCCTCAGCATTTTTAAAACATGCCACACCGGACTGTTTAGTCCGGGCACTGACCTCTCCCCCTTAGATTGCCAAATGAAAGAATGACAACAGCCAACACAACAACAGTTAGCTCATGTGAATGAACGAAAAGTATACTTTTTTTTTTTTAAGTCAGATCAGCAAAATAATTATTTTGGGGGGCTGCAGCGTTTTAGTAGCTTGTTTGCCATGAGTTGAAAAGGTTTAAAATTGCTAATATACTGTGTTGTTTTGCATGTTTGTAAACTTCTCTGCACATAATATTTAATGTCACACATCCCTCTGGAACATGCCGTTTCACCCACTTTCTGTGAGACTCACATTATAATGTGTAGGTTTAGTTCATATTTTTAAAAAACTTACATAATTACATTATATGAACATTCTTATTTTAATGCAGTTGAAATTCCTTTCTTTTAGAGAGTTAAATTATTTCTAATTTTTGGCTGTTAAATAACGTTGCTATATATTCTTGTCACTTCCTTGGAGAAATGTGCAAGAGTTTTTCCAGATGCCTCCATAGCGGTAGTGGTCATTGGCAGGAGTGGCCGAGTGGCCGCAACCTGCTGAGGCTGTGCCACACTGTGCCTGAGGCTGTTGTGCCCAGCACACTCCAGCAGCAGCGCTGAGCTCTTCCCACACCCCCACCTACCCCAGGAGCTGCCAGACCCGTTTTTCCCATGTCCACTCCCCATCGCAGCCTCAGCGTTTGCTCTCCTGTGCGCATGAGCATTCCTGTATGGGTTAGCCTGGTGTTTCCTCTCTGTGAGGTGCCTGTGCAAGGGGCATAGGATTTTCCACATAGATGATCTTGTTATTTGTGAATAAGTATAGCTTTCTTGCCCTAATTGGTTTGGCTCAGTGGATAGAGCGTCGGCCTCTGGACTGAAAGGTCCCAGGTTCGATTATGGTCAAGGGCATGTACCTTGGTGGCGGGCACAACCCCAATAGGTGGTGTGCAGGAGGCAGTGATCAATGTTTCTCTCTTATTGATGTTTCTAACTCTCTAACCCTCTGTAAAAAAAAACAACTATATATATATATATATATATATATATATATATATATATATATATAGTTAACTTTTTTTCAGAATATCTCTTAACTTCTTTTTCTTGCCTCGTTGCACAGCAAAAACACTCAGCGAATGAATTTAAATTCAGTGAATGAATTTAAATGGTCAGAGTGGACATACTTTCCTTGCTCCTGGTCTTATGAGGAATGCTTTCCTCCTAAATGTAAGTTTTATAGCTGCCCTTTATCAGCTTCACAGAATCCTCTCCCAGACCATGTTAGATGAGAGTTATTTTAGTTTTTTAATTTAGTGAACTGCATTGATTTTTTTTTGTTGTTGTTGCTAATCCAGGCTTGTATTTCTGTTAATACAATGCACAGACCTTATTCAGATTTCATCAGCTTTACTTTCACTCGTGTGTGTGTGTGTGTGTGTGTTTGGTTTTCTGAAAAATTTTCCATGTATATTTATATAAATACTATTAGATTCAAAGATACAGAGTTCCATCAAGATGATCCTTTGTGCTACCCTATAATGACCACAGCCAACTCCCTCTCTTGTCCCCTCTGTCTGGCAAACACTAATCTGTTCTCTGTCTCTATAAGTTTGTCATTTCAAAAATGTTATATAAAAGATATCATACCATAAGTTACTTTGGGATTGCCTTTTTAAATTCAGTATAACTCTCTTTAGATTCATCCAAATTGTTGCACGTATCAACATTTCCTCCTTTTTATTGCTCAGTAGTGTTGCATGGTGTGAATGCACCAGTTTGTTAAACTGTTCACCCACTGAAGGATATCTGTTTTTTACAGTTATAAACATCAGTGTACAGGTTTCTATGTGGACATAAGGCTATCATGTCTGGGGTGGATACCAACAGTGCAATTGCTAGGTCACATGATATTCAGTTCTGTAAAAAGTACCATGCCCGTTTCTAGAATGGCTATACCATTTTATATTCCTACTAGTGGCCTGGTGCACGGATTCGTGCACATTGAAAGGAAATTAATGAGAACGTGGCCGGTGGGGCGAGACTGGGTGAGACGGGCCAAACATGCCCTGGGGCCAACCTCCCATGGTCCCTCCCCAGCCGGCTGCACCTGGGATGGCACCACAGCTCAAAGGGCGTCTGCGGAGTGAGAGGGTTCCTCCAGTTGGTGGGGTCCCTTGGCCTGGCCTGTGAGGATTAGGCCCAAACCAGCTCTCTGACATCCCCTGAGGAGTCCCAGATTGTGAGAGGCCACTCTACAAAGTTGCTTTTGCTTGGCAGCACCTGTGTTGAGCATCTGTCCCCTGGTGGTCAGTGCAAGTCATACCTACCAGCTGGTTGGATGGTTGGTCAGATGGTTGCTTAGCCTTTTATATGTATAGATTAGCAAATGTTTGAGTGATCTATTTTTTTTTGCATTCTTGCCAGCATTTGGTGTTAGCACTGTTTTTTATTTTGATTATTCTGACAGTTTCTAGCAATATCTGTTTAGTTGGTAAGGTTGACGTGTTTAATGCAAGCAGTTCCAGGCAGACATGAGTTTTGGTGGGATACTGTTCAACCCAGTAGACTGGGGCATAAGGAATGTCTAGGCAAACGTGCGTGCGCACACAAACACACATACACATACACACACACATGAAATGTATAATAAGGATATAAGGAATTGGTTTTCATTATTATGGAGTCATAGGAAGGCTTGAGAGAGTTGATGATGTGGTTTTAGTCCAAAGGCCAGCAGGCTTGTTACTCAGGAAGATGTGTTTCAGTTTGAGACTAATTCTGATTAACATTGAAAACATCCACCTTTCACATTTACGAACCAAGTCTTAAAATTCTTTAAATTGTTTAAAAGCAGTGACAGAAGAAGCATTCCTCTTGTGAGCCAGTGTCCAAGGCCATACACTTAACAGCTGCTTTTATACTACACCCAGCAGATACAGAATGAAACATTTCCTTAATGAGCCATCAGGCATTGGTTTTTCTCTTTGTATTGGAAAGTTTTGAGTTCACGTACAATTATTGATGTACTTTTATTGATGTCAATAATCAATCGGCCCAAAAGCAGTTGTAGATTTTTCAAGAGTTTATGAGCTGATTTTTCTTCTATATCATAGAAATTTTTTTGATTCACTGAAAATCATTAAGTGTTATTTTTATTTATGCTTTTATTCAGGAACTTCTGGATTTTTCATTAACTTCAGATAGACAGAACCATAGGTTAAAACCATGTTAAAGTTTAGGGTTATCCAAAGTGGACATTAGAATTCCAAATCACTTTTAACTAAAATGTGCCATGTTACTAGCTAAACACAAAATTTATAATGAATGAATATTATTATTAGATGAATGGTGAGAATTGGTTCCCATAAAGGCAATATTAACCATATTTATCTCAGTCACCATATTTAATACAGAAGACTCTCAACATAAGAAACATTCAAACCTGTAGAGAATTTTAATGGATTGAAAGAATGCACTGTCTTTTTCTATTAGGATGCTAGAAAAGGCACTGCATAAATCTACTACTGAAAAATATTGGCAGTCCAAGGAATGGCTGATAAAATATGTAGATTTAGAACACAGGATATCTTGGAATAACCATCTTATGTATAGCTCTGAGATCTTGTACAAATTTCTATCCTTTCAATTTGGCTTCTTTCCTAGAAGGATAGGAGAATTATAGGGCTTGTACATGAAATGATAAGTCCCCTTTTTAACTAATCCTATCTAATAAAAACTCTAATATGTAAATAGACGGAATGGTGGAATGACCAATTGCTATTACGCATACTGACCACCAGGGGGCAGATGCTCAACACAGTAGCTGCCCCTGGTGGTCAGTGCACACCCACAGGGAGAGTGCTGCTCAGCCAGAAGCAGGGCTCACAGCTGGTGAGTGCAGCAGCGGTGGCAGGAGCCTCTCCTGCTTCCATGGGAGCACTAAGGCCCCTTGGGATCCTGGCCTGCTAGAGGGTGCAGGCCAGGCTGAGGGACACACACCTCCCCCTCCTCCCCAGTGCTCAAATGTCATGCACTGGGCCACTAGTTTTGTATAATGGGCTTGCTTCCAGAGAGTGCATCAGGTCTTAAAAGATATTGGTAAATATTAGGTAGAGGCAAAGTATTATCAATAGTTATTTTAATAGGAGTGGCTGAATTGATCTTGACAATATCTGTACTGGAAAGGATCCAAAGGTGCATTGGAAGATACTACAACAAATGTTCAGTTTTAACATTACTTTTATCTTGTGGGAAGTTCCTTTAAAATCATAATTTCCCCAATTGTTTCAGTATCTGATTGATTTAGTCCTGAATACTAGTACATTTCACCTTCCTGGGAAAAGGATATGTGGGCATCATGGATTTCAAGAAAATCTTTTTCTACCCACTAAATTGGGACTGACTTGACCAGTAAAAATATATGTTGGCTCATAACATTCCCTAATTTAAAGGAGACAGGTCCTGATTTAAAAACAGTCATTGGATGGTCATACATCCCTACCATGTGCACAGAAGCTTTACTCTGACAGGGAAGCTTAGCTGGGTAGGGTTAAGAATGGATAACATAGGACCATAGTAACTTGTCCTTTCGTGATAATTTCAGTTTCTCCTAAAGTATTAGTAAGCAAATACCCACTCATAGGCCTTAAAGCAGCCACATGCTTGCTTCTCTTCTTCTACTCTTTGTAAATCTCATTTCACTTTCCTACAGTCCAGATGCTGACCTGGCTTTATATAGTAAAAGGACTCCTCTATGCTCTTGTCTAAGAAACCTCTGTATAGATCTGACTCGATTCCTTAATTGTTGGAGCTTTAAGTTCATAAAGTTGGCAGCTTTATATTTTTCTTTCTTTTGAATAGGTTGATAGTTGACCAGCCAGAATAGCCAGTTCTGATGGTTGTCTGCCATTTCATGCTGTTTGACCAAAGTTACAAGCTCTTTATCTAGTCCTTCCAAAAATGCCAAATTAAGGGATTATTTTGATGATTCTTAAAACTGTATGGAGACAACTGAGAATTGTTTGCAAGTTTTTTTCAAAATGTTCAAAGAAATTTAGCACTAATTCATCAGGCTTTCTTTTATATTGTTAGATCTTGGTCCACGCCATTTTCCAGGCAAGAATCTTAGGTATGGCTTGATAAACTGGTGAGATAATGACCTGCATTTTCCCCGGTCTGTCTCCATTTTTTAAATATGTAAAAAATGTCTTTGAATCCCCCAAAAAAATCGTCTACAGGAATATGCCAGCAAACCTGATTCAGCCATCCTATTGCCTTGTTCTCAGAAACCAGTGTAAGTGTATTAATTTGAATAGGTCAAAATAGCCATAATCATATATCCTAACAGTTAAATCAAATGCCTTTGCAAACCTGTTGTGATCCTGAAGAGAGTCAGGGAAATCTTTGGTTAGATTTCTTAATTCTGTGCTAGTCCAAGGAATACATACAATCACTGGATTTCCTCTACCTGAGACAAGCTGCTAAAGTCCCTGAATTATCTTCTCTGAATTTTTATAATTTTTCCTTTGGTCAGTAGGGAGTGGTAGTAGAGGGGAGAGAGAAGGAGGAGGAAGAAGGGAGTTGGAGGGCAAGTCTGTATAAGGAAGCGAGGAGAACAAAGGGTATAGTGGAAAGGGTATAGTGGAGGAGCTGCAGAAGGGGAGGAATGAGGTCTTGGCATTTAGTGGCTTTGGAAGCCTTCTTTAGTTCAGAGTCAGTCTCTTACATTTTCTTATTAACTTGCTCGATATTTTAGCTGAGCCTTTCCTAAAAGTTTCTAATTTCCAATCAAGATAAGCTTCCCATTCGTTCAATTTTAGAGCTGGCTTTTTCTAATTGAGCATGCAGAAAAATCAATTTGGAGGTCTTAAAAATCCCCCACTTTGGCCATTTCTAGCTGATACCATTTTTAGTCAAATTTCCCCATTTCTGTAGATACTTGCATGTTGAGATTCCATATGAATTATACATGTTTTCTGAGGAATTATTAATGGGGAGCTGGGATTCTTTGGATTCATGGACCTTAGAGGTACAACTGAGACCCATTTTAATTATAGTCTTCCTTTGGATATCTACAGTCTGAACAAATTTTCTAGGAAGGTTATATAGTGGGTTGAAGTGTGCTGCTTATAACATGAGCTCCTCTAGGTCAAGCACGTCAAACTCAAAGTCTAACACGGGCCAACTAAACAAGGTTTAAGTTTATGAAGGCCACAAAAACCAAAAACTTCAATTTTCATAGAAACATAGGTTTATTTCAATAGAGACATGTTGAATACAAAGGGCTGAAATAAATGAGTAATCGTTAACATAAAATAATAGAACATTTTAATAAAAATATTTTTTCTTGAACATTAATTTACTAGAAAATGAATAATCTCACACATTAATAAGCGTAATGCAAATAAACCTATTTTTCTTGTTCTCCGAAAGTGAAATATTTCCTTGTTGTGCACATCAAACAAGTTAGTCCAAGACTAATGACGTGGCAATCGGCTGCTAAAATATTTGCTATTAGTATTAGTGGAGAGAAATGGTGCGCTGGCGAGTAAGGGAAACGAATGCAACACGATTATAGTAATCAGTCATTAGCGAACACTGTAGCTTGTTATTAATAATTATAACAGGATATTGTAAAAATTAAGTTACGAATTTTTTATTAAAACGTTTCCTACATACTGCTATACTGGCTGGGCCGCAAAAAAATTAGCTGTGGGCTGCAAGTTTGACATGCTTGCTCAACACGTGCTTCAGTTTGGCTCCCCAGTTGTTTAATACAGCCGTGAGGACTCAGAGGTAAACACTAGGTAAACCACCTTTATATGTGGGTCCCCGTAGAAGTCAATTGTTTAATTCCAGCTGACTTGGAATTTTCCTATTGGGCTTCTGCAGGTTGTGAGGAATGTCCTCGGACACATCCACGAAGATCCCTAAAAACACCCCAGGTTCTGGCTGGAGGGAGGGTATGTCCTCATCTTCACAGCCCGAGTTCAGGGTCTCATCAGCAAAGGTCTTGGCTCAGATGCAGTGGAATGGTCCCAACTGAAAAGCCAAAATCAAAGCCAGCCACGCCTCTCAACTCCGATGTTTTAGTGCCACCTTGAGGATTTTCTAAGAACAGTTCAAATAAAGTCTGTCCCTCTACCACATGTGTCAAACACAAGGCCAGCGGGCCAAATCCGTCCCGCCAGGCCTTGCAATGTGGCCCGCACCGCACTGTCATCACTGCACTCCGCTGCGTTTCCATCACAATGGCAGTTTATGACTGTTCAGTAAACCATTCGGCCCGCGATTTAGGCTGGATTTTAGATTTTGGCCCCTTCTCTGATTGAGTTCGACACCCCTACTCTACACAAGCAAGGGAAGGTCCTGGCTCAGAGTCTACTCATCCAAGTTCACTCTGTGTGGCAGGAGCCAGCGGGGCTCAGTGGACCCCTTGCTGGATCCTGTCACCGGGCCTGGATCCATTGGGGGGTCCTGGATGAGCTTCACTGAATCCTGCCAACTATTCTAAGTAAATGCAACGTAAGAAACATTCAAACCTGTAAAGATTTTTGTGATTTTTTTCTTGGTGCCAAACTGATGGCAACTGCCAGGAAGCAAAGTCTCACCACATTGAGAAAATGGCAGTTTTGCACCTTATTTTACACATTACAATCAAAAGAGGAGACCAGAGTGGGTTATATAAAATCCATTCGTGACAGATTAGGGAGGTGGGAGAAAGCAATAAAGGGGAACCTCTGGGGTGGGGTAAAAAGTAAAATAATAGTCACACAATTCTTTAGATAGGTGGGTGCAGAACAGTTAACAGTCAACAATTTTAACTCAATAACAATGAGGGGATTTTTTATGTCCACAGAGTGGTGCCTGCACTTCGAGGGGTCCTGAAAAAGGAATTAATTTCACATTCCAAAGATATGTTATCATAGACCAAAACAACAGACGTAGTGAAGGTGAACACTGACCTTTGTCAGGAAAGATTTCTAGCCTAGGAAATGATTACTCGTAATGAACTGCTTTTATTATAGTTAAAAAGTTTTAATTTTGGACCATCCTTTGTGAGTTTGTGAGGCCACCATGCAGGCCTCCCCTGAGCTTGTCAGGTTTTTGTGCAAGACACACAAAGTGCTTCCTTTTCCAGTGAAAGGCACTGCTGTCATGACGTGCTGTGTACCACTGGCTTTAGGGTTTACGTGATTAGTGTACAAGCAAGTCAAGAAGGCAGTGGCTGCTTTCTCTTCCCATCAATTCAGAGACAAGTAGACAATTGTGGGATACTGAAAGCTCAGCTGAAGACTGAAAGGATGTTCACTGTCACATCTGGCTGTCCAGTGGAGTCAGTACTTGTGATTGTCAAGGCCATTTCACAGGAGATTCTATATCTACCTAAATATACATACATGCACATATGTGTACACACACACACACACACACACACACATAACTAAGTTTATTAAGAACTTGCTGAAAAGCAAATCTAGGGAGCTTGAAGTATTAGGAAGGAGTTTCATAGTAGCTATCCTTGTTAGTATTGAAAGTTGGCACTTTAGAGAAGATTGAATGAGTCAATAATGTAAGTCAGGGTTCAGGAAGGGTTTTCCTCTAAAGGGCCAGACAGTAAATAATTTAGCTTTTCCAACCTGTGTGTTCTCTGATACAAATACTAACCTTTGCCGTTCGGTGAAAGCTGCCACAGACTCTACTGGAGAGTGTGTGGCTGTGGACCTTTATTTACAAACATCTGGTGGACTGTAGTTTGCAACCCATGTTGTAGACTAGGGGTGTCAAACTCAATCAGAGAAGGGGCCAAAATCTAAAATCCAGCCTAAATCGCGGGCCGAATGGTTTACTGAACAGTCATAAACTGTCATTGTGATGGAAACGCAGCAGAGTGCAGTGATGACAGTGCGGTTCGGGCCACATTGCAAGGCCTGGCGGGACGGATTTGGCCCGCGGGCCTTGTGTTTGACACATGTGTTGTAGACAGTTAATAAAACACATCTCGCTGTGACTGAAGAAGAATCTGGTAGGTCTGAAAAAGCCTGGGTAGACTTTTAGTGGGTAGAACCAGTGTAATAAAACAAGGCAGACAAAATTGCCATCTCCTAGTAAAGAGCTATCTATCGCAGGGGGTATTTTTCCTTTCACAACAACTTGTACGACACTGAGAAAAGCAGGCTGGCATTGACTGGGATCATCAGGTGCCAAAATCTTCTACGGGGTTGCAGACTGTTTCACTGTTGAGTCCCCAGTTTCTGGCATGGAACCCAGCAAATATCTTCTTGAAAACACTTGCTTAGGATGGTGGCAACACCTCCTGGTTCATTTCCTGCATGGATCCCTGACATTTCCTTTTTACTGCCTCCCCAATGGGGCCTCCAGGTGGAATGATTCCTTGTAATGACCCCATTCCTTTCCTGTAGGAAAAAATCACTAAAGAAATTTGTAGTAAGCGATATACTTTCAGTAAAAGAATATAGAGGCTGTGCCAAAAGTAGGTTTACAGTATTTCATATGGAAAATACAAAAAAGAGAATTAACTGTGCTTCACCTACTCACAACTGTAAACCTGCTTTTGCTCCAGTCTGTGTTTGTGATGATGTTCCTATCAGGGATAATTCCTGTGGGCTGTGAGATAACTGTACTGCGGGAAATGTATGACTTTAATGGCTGCCCTTTATGGGGCTGAAGCCATCTTACAGGCTTTTTCAAACTATTTGCCAGGCTGATCATTAGAGCTGCTCGTCTTGTGCCTTTTCTGGTTGCAGCAGTGTCACAGCGGGAGGAAGGAGCTCTCTAAAGTAAGTCTTTGTGGGACCTGAGGGAGGACTGCTGGGTGAGTTCCACCGTCCACAGGCACCGTGGTGGTTGTGACGGATTCTCTCCAGCAGAACCAAGGACAGATTCCAGCCCAGTCTCTCCTGCCCGGCGGCCTTTCTAGTCCGCAGAGCCTCACAGAACACGTGCTGTGTGGCCCCCCCCCGAGATTTCCCCAAGCTCTTCTGCAGGAAGTCACTTCCCACCGGAAGCTCCAGGCTGCCTGAGAGGAAAAGCAGACGATGGGAAGAGCGAAGGCTCTGGCCCCGTGGTGAGGAGGCTGCAGCTAAGTGGGACTGCAAGCATATTCTTTGGCCCATTTCAAGGTCAGCCATACACAGGGTGGAAGGCAACAGAGGTGAAGGAACAGAGCAGAAGATGAATCCTGAGGGGGCAGACATGTTGACAGGGGCAGGCTGCTCAGAATCTGGAGCAGTGCTGTGTGAAAGATACACCCGAGGCCGCAGCACAGTCAGGCCTGGTTCGCCTCCAGAAGCATCATGTGTGGCCGAGGTTTGTGCCAGGTCAGCCCTCCTCGAGCTCCAGAGGAGGCACACAGGGGAGAAGCCTCACGGTTGTGTGGAGTGCGGACGAGGCTTTGGCCGGAAGTCCTCCCTCACCATACACCAGAGGAAACACTCGGGAGAAACCGTACACGTGCAGGAATGTGCGACACTTCAGGTACAAGTCCTCGCTCTCTAACCACCAGAGGACACACTCCGGAGAGAGGCCCTTTGTCTGTCCTGAGTGCGGGAGAGGCTTTTGCCAGAAGGCATCGCTCCCCCAACACCAGAGCCCCCATTCTGTGCCTGCAGTGCAGTCCCTGCTCCTTGTTAACCAGGTCGCACACTCAGGGGAGAAGCCTTACATCTGTGCTGACGGTGGGCACGGCTCTGGCCAGAATGCCACCCTCATCAGACCCCGGAGGACACACTCAGGGGAAAGCCTGACCGGTGCTCTGCGTGCGGGCGGGCTTTCGGCAGGTCGCCCTCGGAGGACACCGGAGACTCACACGGAGAGAAGCCTGTGTGTGCCCGGAGTGTGGGCGGGCTCTGGCCAGAAGGTTACCCTCATCAGACCCCAGAGGACACACTCAGGGGCAAAGCCTAACATGTGCTCCGCATGCGGCTGCACGTTTGGCTTCAGGTCACTTCTCACCCGACACCCGAGGACACACTTAGGGGAGGGTTCTGATGGGGATGGAGTGTGTGAGCAAAGACCTAGCCAGAAACCTGACCTCACCTCTGACCAAAGGACCCCTCAGGAGAGAAGCCACATGAGTGCAGAGAGTGTGGGCGGGGCTTCAGCCAGAAGTCTCACCTCCACAGACATAAGAGGACAAAGTGTGGCCATCACTCCCTTCCAAAAGAGCTATTCTCCTGACCGCCCTTTTCCTCTGCCCTCCGTGTGCAGACGGTAGAAGTCACTAGGAAATGTTCCCCTGGTCTCCACTGTGTGGAGAGACAGTACTGCATACTTTCAGTGATAAGAGAGTTGTTTATGCTTTCCTTCCTGCACTAGGAATATGGGCTAATTTGCCAGTGCTGCCATAATAAAATATTATACCATAGACTTGGTGCCTTGAAGAACAGAAACTTGCTTTCTGTTCCTCAGTATGTGAGAGTAAAAGTCCAGATCAACATGTAAGCAGTGTGGTTCTACGGAAGCCTCTCTCCTGGGCTTGCAGATGTGACTGCATTCTTGCATGTGGCCTTTTTTCCATGTGTGTGCTTCCCTGGGTCTCTCTCTCTCATAGGGGTAAGGGACCTCTTAACATTTACCTTTTAAAGACCATGTCATCAAAAAAGTCACATAGTAGATTATCACTTCAACACATGAATTTGGTGGAATAATTCAGCCCTCTAGTCTCGCTCACAATCCCTTTCCCAATTCACATTTTCCCCACATACAAATACATCCACCCATTTTAAGAACTTCAAAAGTCTTAATACTTTCCAACACCAATGCCATGTCCAGAATCTCACCTAATCACACATGGGTGAGACTAGGCAGAATTCCTCTTTAGCTGTGAACATGTAAACCAGACAAATTATCTGGTCCCAAAATGCACTGGCGGGACAGGCCTGAATCTACATATCCATTCTGAAAGTGGGGAGAAGAAAGGGTTGATGCTCCCAAGCAAGTCAAAACCTAGTAAGTTAGATTCTATTATGTTGAAGGCTCAAGGACTAGCTTTGGTTGGGTCCTCTGCTCTCTGGTCCCACGTGGGTGGCCTCGGCTGTGCCAGGCCCACGGAAACATGGAAGAGAGATGCTGGCCCCTGGCTTTCTTCTCCGGGCCCACTGTGGGGGCAGCAGACCTGCTTGTCTGTTCCACCTTTGGGGTCATTTCCCTTGATGGGTAGCACATGTTTGCAGTTGGGTAGGTATATTCTACCTGTAGAATGTCCCATGTGCATCACGGATAATCCAACCTGCAGAGTTTCTACTGAGATACGCGATGGGCTCCAAACTTCTGTCTTTACGAAGCAATTGTCTAGCCACACTGGTGTTCTCTCCAGGACGTGCTTATTCTCTGTGATATGGATCGGCTGAGACTTTCCCAGATCTTCAAGTTCTGGTTCCTTGTTGTTCCTTCAGTTTATCCATCTACTCTTATTATAAGTAGCAAGAAAAAACCAGGCTGTATTGTACCTTCAACACCGTGTTTGGTAATCTCTGCTTAACTTACACCGTCTGGATGCCCAAAATTGATGTGGCCAGTTACAAACTCCTGCCATAAAAAGGTGTTCTGGCCTTTCCTTCCCAATACCACAAATGTGAAGATGGCAGAAATCACTAGGAAATGGAATGGAGGGAAAACAATGTTGCTTTTTTCCAGTGTTCATGAGATAGTTTGCTTATGGTTTACTTTTCTAAGCAGCAGTCCTTCTATATATTGCATTTCCTTTCATTTTAATAAACTGCTTCTATACAAAGCTGCACACCTGGATGTGCACCTCATTTTATCAAGAACCACAACATATTTAACTTCTTGGGAGAATGGAGAGTCATTCTGTATTTCTTCTGGGCTCTGGTCCTAAAACGGGGAGAGCAATATTATAATGGCCTTCATCCAACACCCTTTCCTAAGTCCTCCAACAGACATGGGTTCCCCAAGCCACACGCTCTGCCTCCCCAACAACAGCCTGAAGGGTTTCTATTAATACCGTCCTTGCACCTCGAAGCCCTGTCCCGTTAGCTGTGACCACATGGCAGTGATCGAGCCCCAGGACCGAGGGCTTTCAGCCACAACTTTCCCCAGGTTGGGGGTCCACAGCACACATCTTTAAATCCAGGCAAGGTGCTGCCCCTTTAGTCATTTCCTCTTGTGATCTCTAATCCCTAGAGCCTAACAAATGGCCAGCCCAGATGCTTTCCTCGTTTAAAATACACAGATAATAAAAAATAATTGATAAAGTTGAATACAAGAGCAGTATTTTGCATTGCAAAAGTACTATAAATAGTGTCAAAAACAACAACACACAAATGACTGGAAGAAAAATATATAACATAAATCAACAGTATTTTGCAGATAAAGGGTTAATATCCCTACATTATAGGAACTTTAAAAAAAAAAAAATCAAGCCGAAAAGACCAGAAGTTCAAGAAAATTGGGCAAGAAACAAACTCAGTTTACCAAAAGAAGTATACACAAATAAAAATATGTTCAACTTCAATCATGATAAGAAAAGGGAAAATTTATAACTTCATTGGGATACCATTTCACACTCATCAGCTTGGCAGAAATTCAAAAGCTTGGCAGCTGTCTAGTGTGAGAAAACAGGCATTGCCATGCATTGTTGCGAGGAATGCAGAATGGTAAAGTCTTTTAGAGAGAGGGCAATTTGGCAATATGGAAACTATACTTGTAACTGTTGAAACAGTAAGCACACTTCCAAGGTCTCTCCTGAAGGGTCAGTTTTATGAATGTACACACATACATGGTTATTTTCATAATTTCCAGAATATTGAATGTTTAAGCATAGTCAATTATATAGACTGGAGCATATACTCAGTGGGGAAAATGCACCTGAGGAAAACACCAAGGAAGAACATCCTAGTGAAACATGGAGGAAGTTTCCTAAATGAAAAGAGCCAACTGTCATAAGCACATATAGTTTGTCAACATTTTAAGAACAAAGGGATAATAATGACATAGTATTTTACAGTATTATCCTCAGTCTTGGGCAGGGTTTAATTTTACATGTGTGTGTTAGAATTATAAACAAATCCTAAACTCTTTAATGGGTTTGCTTCCTGTAGCTATTGTATATGGTGAAACAATTCTGAAACTATTTTGGTGGGGAACCTTTTTCTGCCAAGGGCCATTTTGATATTTAGAACATCATTCACAGGTCACACAATATTATCAAGTTAAAAATTAGCCTGCTATCTCTGGTCAAACATTTAATTCACTCCTAATGCCTTGGCAGGATAGACTAAATGATTTCACGGGCCCCACAGGCCCAAAGACCAGACATTCCTCACCCCTGCATTATAGGATTGACAAGTGCTAATGTGGTTGGGAGCTAGAGTTCTCACCGAGGAAGGAAAGCCATTCAAATGGAGAATGGGACTAAGCAAGGAAGAACCATGTGAGGACGTACTAGCGTGAATTTAAGATTCCTTAGACATTTGCATGTGTGCCTGTATGTGTTTATGTGCTAATACATATTTGTGCATATGTATATTATACACTTGTATTTATTTTCTATGTCTGCCTGCTGAAAAGACTAAGAAGCAAGGACAATCCTGAAGCAGCAAGCACATCTAGCATCCAGATTTCAGTCCTGACACCATTTTCCATTAGTAAAAACGCAGGTTTCTTGGATTAACGGCGGGCAGGGTAGGTAAGAGATGATCCCAATCTTCTGGTAATGCCAAGGGGGCAGGAAGTGTAAAAAAAATACACCCCAAAACAAAAACTAGGATAAAGCATGATACCAAAACACAGGACTCAGTTTGAAGATTCCAACCCAGTGGCTACATCTGGAACAAGTCAAGCACAAACTAATTGAGCCATAATCCATTGGGGGAAAAAGAAACTAATGGGTCTATAACATCCTAATATACAAAAAGCCAGGGTCATCATGACATAAACGACCAGACAGACAACCAAACAGCAGGCTGTGTGGGGCGACCAGGCCGGCAGAGGGGTTAGTGACGGACTGTTACGCCCAGAATTTGTGATCCCCATGGACCACCAGGGAGCCAAGTCCGATGCAACTGCAGAAAGCCTGAATTCCACGCTAGCATGGGCTCTGTCCCACTCACACTGACACAGCGTGGTGGAAGAGAGACCGAACTTCGACAGGTCAAGGGGATTTATAGGGGTGGTGATGTCACTGCTTTGGCTGACCCTGATTGGTTGGGGGAGGGCTAGGGTCCAGTTACACAAAATGGAGGATAGCTCTGCCCTGCCCCACAGTACAAAATGGAGTCAGGAGTTAGCCTCACCCCGCCCTGCCCTCTCAGGACAATCAAACAACCAAACAGCAGGCTGCATGGGGCAACCAGGTCAGCAGGGAGGTTAGTGAAGGATCACCAAACAACTGAACAGCAGGCTTCGTGGGGTGACCAGGTCAGCAGGGAGGGCAACTGAAGGTGACCAGGCCAGCAGAGGGGGGCAGTAAGGGGCAACCAGGATAAAAGGGGAGCATTTAGGGACGATCAGGCTGGCAGGCAGGTGAGTAGTTAGGAGCCAGTGGTCCCTGATTGTGAGAGGGATCGGGCCTAAACCGGCAGTGGGACATCCCCCAAGGGGTCCTGGATTGGAGAGGGTGCAGGCTGGGCTGAGGGGACCCCTATTCCTGTGCATGAATTTCATGCACTGCGAGTCTAGTATATAAATAAATGAAGTCTGTTGCTTATTGTACAGTGACAACAGCAAATGGTAACCACTTTTTTCTCCTAAAATTAACATCTTACATAATTATATTTGTTGAAGTGAAGAGATTAACCTTGTGACAACACCACTAGAAACTGCACACTGTCTTAGAATTTTCCACCATTGTCTCTTTTCTAATCTAGAATCCAACCCATGTCTCCCCATTGCATTTAGTCACCATATGTTTTTAGTCTCCTCCCATCTGTGACAGTTCCTCAGTCTTTCTTTGTCTTTCATGACCTTGATACTTGAAGAAAGCAGGTTGGGTATTTTATTGAATGCCCCTCAAGTTGCAATTACGTGATGCTCTATTAGATGTGTATTATGGACTCTTTGGAAGAATAACACAGAAGTAAAATGTCCTGACTGCATCTTATCCAGAGGTACATGATGCCAACAGGACTTACTCCTAGTGATGTTAACCTTGATCACTTGGTAAATGTAGTTTGGTAAGTCTAGCCCATACTCTAAGGGTGGGAATTAAGCTCCATCTTTGCAGAGTGGACCTTGTGACTAGAAGAGCAACATAGGGAACAGTGCTTCTTACATCCTCCACCTCCCAAAGGGAGTGGCCTGGTGTTTCTTGGTTCCCAAAGTAGTCCAGGCACATTGTCTCCCCCTGGATGGGGTATGAGTCCTGCTGCTAACACCAGGTAAGCCCAGCAGCACCAGCAGGTGGGACATCTGGATTAGGCCCCCTACAGACAGTGATAAAGAGGACTGTTTTTCCATAGGATTGACACTATCTTCACTCTGAGACAACAAGGAATTAGGTGGCACCAGCCAGGGGGATTCTGCCACAGAAATACCTATTCTGGGAAGTGCTCTTTCCCCATAGACCTGAGACTCCCCACCTGGATCCAAGACAACTGGTAGCCAGGCAGAACCAGAAATGACATTCCTGGTAAAGTGCTCAGCCCAGGAAGGGGCTCCTGTCCCGTGACAGACATCTGGCGGCCAAGAGGCACAGGGAAGAGGAACTCTGACACCTTAGTGGCTAAGCTTGTGAAGTTTTCCCTCCCTTTTGCCCTAGAGCATCCATTTCATTATCTTGAAATAAGCAGCCTGTTTTGGAGAAGCTCATAATGCAAAAATAGCAAGCTACCAAACTGACTGAGGAGATTTACCTAGCATTCCAAGGGCTTTGAATGTTAAATTGTTGCTGGAATAAGAAAAGTAGGCCAGCATCTGGGTGCTAATCTTAAAAATGGGGAGGCTTCCTGCTAAAATAAAGGTTTTAAATAGGACCAAGAATCTTTAACAGTTAAAGTTTACAATACAACAGAAGATTAGCCATCATAACAAGAACCAGGAAATCACAACCTCAATGAGGAAAGATGATCAACTGGCACCATCAGAGAGAGAGAGAGTACAGCATTGGAATCATCTGACAGGGGTGCTAAAGCAGCTATTATTACAATGCTATAGGCCTCTACATGTTTTCTTGAAGCAAATGTACAAGATATTATCAAAAAGACAAGTTATACCAAAAATTCAAGTGGAAATTATAGGACAAACATATGCCTCATGATTCCACTTATGTGTAGTATATAAAATAGTGAAACATCTAGAAGTTGAAAATAGTATGTTCTTTGCCAGGATTTGAGGGAGTATTTTACTAAACATTTGAGGAAGGATTAATACCAATTTTACACTATCTCTCACAGAAAATTAAAAAAAGGAAGCATTTCTTAATTTAGTATTATATTTGAGGCCAATACTACCCTATACCAAAGCAGACAAAGTGCAAAATTGTAAAACTATAGACCAATAACTCTTGAAGACATATGAAAAATGATTAAAAAAAATTATTAGCAAGTTAAATCCAACCATGATTTTTAAAAAAGAATTATACAGGTGAACCTTGGAGATATTGTGGGGTCGCTTCCAGATCATCACTATAAAGTAAATATCAAAATTAAACAAGTCACAAGAATTTTTTGGTTTTTGATTATATATAAAAGTTACGTTTATACCAAACTATAGTCAATTAAGTGTGCAGGATCATTATAGCTTAAAAAAAAACAAAACAAAAAAAAACCCCCAAAA